GAGGATAGGAGGTGAACAGAGGGGAGGAGAGGAGTTGAACAGACCACGGGAGGAGAGGAGGTGAAGAGAGGGGAGGAGAGGAGGTGAAGAGAGGGGAGGAGAGGAGTTGAACAGAGGGGAGGAGAGGAGGTGAACAGAGGGGAGGAGAGGTTTTAGCATAGGGGTTGGCGGGATGGCAAGTGTGGTGTGAGTGAGGGACTGGCGGGATGGCACGCATGTGTTGTGAGGAGTGCAGAGCAAGGGAGGGAACGACGAGTGCAGAGCAAGGGAGGGAACGACGAGTGCAGAGCAAGGGAGGGAACGACGAGTGCAGAGCAAGGGAGGGAACGACGAGTGCAGAGCAAGGGAGGGAACGACGAGTGCAGAGCAAGGGAGGGAACGACGAGTGCAGAGCAAGGGAGGGAACGACGAGTGCAGAGCAAGGGAGGGAACGACGAGTGCAGAGCAAGGGAGGGAACGACGAGTGCAGAGCAAGGGAGGGAACGACGAGTGCAGAGCAAGGGAGGGAACGACGAGTGCAGAGCAAGGGAGGGAACGACGAGTGCAGAGCAAGGGAGGGAACGACGAGTGCAGAGCAAGGGAGGGAACGACGAGTGCAGAGCAAGGGAGGGAACGACGAGTGCAGAGCAAGGGAGGGAACGACGAGTGCAGAGCAAGGGAGGGAACGACGAGTGCAGAGCAAGGGAGGGAACGACGAGTGCAGAGCAAGGGAGGGAACGACGAGTGCAGAGCAAGGGAGGGAACGACGAGTGCAGAGCAAGGGAGGGAACGACGAGTGCAGAGCAAGGGAGGGAACGACGAGTGCAGAGGTGCGGGAAGGTGAATAGAGGGGAGCAGTGGGGGGAGGTGAATACAAGGGATAAGTGGGGGATGGTGCGCGTGGGGAGCGGAGGGTGAATAGTAAGGGATGGGGAAACCGTGGGGTGAACAGTGGGGGATGGGGAGGAAGGGCGGAATGAGGAGAAAGGGCGCAACGAGGAGAAAGGGCGGAATGAGGAGAAAGGGCGGAACGAGGAGAAAGGGCGGAATGAGGAGAAAGGGCGGAACGAGGAGAAAGGGCGGAACGAGGAGAAAGGGCGGAACGAGGAGAAAGGGCGGAACGAGGAGAAAGGGCGGAACGAGGAGAAAGGGCGGAACGAGGAGAAAGGGCGGAACGAGGAGAAAGGGCGGAACGAGGAGAAAGGGCGGAACGTGGAGAAAGGGCGGAACGAGGAGAAAGGGCGGAACGAGGAGAAAGGGCGGAACGTGGAGAAAGGACGGAACGAGGAGAAAGGGCGGAACGAGGAGAAAGGGCGGAACGAGGAGAAAGGGCGGGACGAGGAGAAAGGGCGGAACGAGGAGAAAGGGCGGAACGAGGAGAAAGGGCGGAACGAGGAGAAAGGGCGAAACGAGGAGAAAGGGCGGAACGAGGAGAAAGGGCGGAACGAGGAAGCAATTTTCTCACCCTTATCCAAGTTCCCTAGCATGACGGAGTGGAGGCGCGGGAAGGGGAGGGGATTAGGTTGACCGCGGCGGGAAACGGCAGCGCTCGGTTCTCTCCCGCCATCCGCGAGTACTGCTCCTGTACTGTACCCACTTTAGATCCGCTTCAGTCTGCTCCATCCGCGCTGTCTACTCCTGTACCTGCGGGGGCAAATGAATAAGCAGATTCACATGAATACGCACACGTGGAACGAGTACACTTGTGTATGTACATTCACACGACCACGCACGCATGCTACCCTTTGGCAGCTGCAGCAGCTCATCTTTCAGTCGTCTCACTCACTTGCCCAGCCACCTCTGCTTGAAAAAACTCTTACCTGCCCGCCCACCTCTTCTTCAAGCTCTCACCTGCGCGGCCACCCCTGCTTCAAACTCTCACCTGCCCGGCAATCTCTACCCCAAAATTCGGTGGGAAACCGCGGGAAGGAAAACCTTGGGAAACCAACCATGGGAAAGAGCGGGAAACGGCGGGAAAAGGCAGGAAAGGGCGGGATTCAGCGCGGAAAGGGCACTAAGCCGTGCCTGGGGCGCGGAAAAAAAACAACTTGCCAAGCCTGCAGCGCGGAAAGGGCACTTGGCCGTGCCTGGGGCGCGGAAAAAAAAAAAAACAACTTGCCAAGCCTGCAGCGCGGAAAGGGCACTAAGCCGTGCCTGGGGCGCGGAAAAAAAAAACAACTTGCCAAGCCTGCAGTGCGGAAAGGGCACTTCGCCGCGCCTGCAGCGCGGAAAAGGGCAAGTCGCCGCGCCTGCAGCGCGGAAAGGCACTTGGCCGCGCCTCTCACCAGGCAGTGCCGAGCCTCTCACCAGGCAGTGCCGAGCCTCTCACCAGGCAGTGCCGAGCCTCTCATGGCGCGCGATCCGCCGCCTGGTGATGCTCGCGTGCTGGTGGGAGAGGTAGGTGAGTGCGTTTCCTTCGTCATAGGAACATTTGCCGTCAGATCAGTGCACAACTCGTGTCGCGTCGCTGTCAGAGATAAAACAAAGAAAGAAGAACATATTTACAAAAATAATTGAACAATTTGACGCAAACCTGAATACAAAAGGAGGCAGTGAAGCAGGCGCCTGGTGAGAGTGTTGAGCGAGAAACGGCGAAAAAAGGCACGAGGCAGAAAATGGAGAGGAGAGGAAGGGCCGGGGAAGAGGGAAACTTTAGCTAGAAATATAATCTCACGTTAATATAACTATAAAACGCAACTAAAAAACAGGAGCTTCTGCTGGAACGCGGATTAACTCTCACAGGGGCCTAAGCTGCTGCGCCCACCATTCCGTCAGCTGCTTCCGCGGCGCGACATCGGCCATCTGCTGCCGCGGCGCGACATTCCGCCATCTGCTGCGCGCGCCAATTCGCCTGCTGCTGCGCGCGCCATTCCCCCTGCTGTGGCGCGCGCCATCCCCCCTGCTGCTGAACGATCTATGACTAGGAGAACAAATAAAAAGAAAACTAAGAGAATGCTACTAAGAGCATTAAGAGAATGCTACTACTAGTGAGACCATCCAGTGAGAGGGACGCTGGGAGAAGAAGAGCAGTCGAGAGAAAGAGGAGTCAAGGAGGAGGTAACAATGGGAGAGTTGAAGGACTCGCGTGCTGGTGGGAGAGGTAGGTGAGTGCTTTTCCTTCACCAGATCAGCACCACTCGTGTCGCGTCGCTGTCAAAGAGAAAACAAATAAAAAAGAACATCAGCACCACTCGTGTCGCGACCGTTCGACGGTGAGGTCCGACCGAGCCACCTCGCGCGCACGCGCGTTCGCTCTGCGCAGCGACCCGTGTGACATGACATAGCATGCTGCAAACTAAACTGACATCAAACGCGATATTCGCAAATGAGAAAAAGCGCGGGACGGCTAAAGGAGAGCGCTGCGCAGGGTGCAGCGCGAGGCGAGCAGGACGACGACTATCTAACGACCGCGAGGCGCACGAACAAACACGCGACTGGGACCTTAGCGAATGACACAGCAGCGGATTAGGTGGCTGTGACTGTATTTCTAGCTGAATAGTCGGTACGAGGGAAGAAGGTTCGAGTAGACCTGATTTGGTTTGGGCTGAGGCAGCAGCGGGATGGATAGACGGGTAGCTAGCCAACCCCTCCCACACAATGTTGTGTAACATTTCGGGCAGTAGAAATAAAAGTAGAAGCATCTCGTAACTAAAATGGAAAAATCAGACCACTCCTACTACTACAGTGAAGTCGTTTCGATTTTACTGTTGAATGGAAGGGTTCCAACTCGGACCTGAACACCCACCTCCTCAACCCAAAAAACAGCCCCCAATGGGGTTTCTAAGCCTGGTCCGCAACAGGTCGCGGTGGAACAGGTCAAGAAACTCAAAGACAGCCCCCAATGGGGTTTCAGAGCCTGCTCCAGCGCACAGGTCGCGGTGGAACAGGTCAAGAATGATACTATAACAGTGAGGTTCCAATTTACAGCGCGGTTCGGACGAATCTTGATTTGCAAAGTGTATATATTGCTGTTGCTAACCAACTAGCATCAACTATGATTGCGTTTCAAATGTGAATTGTTAAATAAACATGCGAGAAGATAAACACATGACACACATAATGGCATTACCGTACAAGTTGCGTAAGCATAAATCACAATCAAATATGTGTAATATTGGTACGTTATTTTTATTTCCTGCTTTCATGCCTAATTCATACTTCTCTTGATGTAATGCAAGCATGATTGCTAGTGCTCGTACTCTTAATGCCTGTAAACTATCTACTTCAACGTCAATGCGTTGGGGTGGCTTTGAGCGGTGCCGAGTGTTGCCGAGAGGTTTAGAGTGGTAGTGAGCGGTGCTGATACGTCCGATGCGGTCGTTGATGGTGCTGAACGCTCTTGGGTGGTGACGAGTGGTGATGAGTAGCTCAGAGAGGTGTCGGGTGGTGATGAGCGGCTCCGAGCGGTGCCGAGTGCTGCAGAGCGGTACAGAGCGGCAGTGAGCGGTGCTGGGTTGTTGTGTGCAGTGATTGGTGGTGTTGAGCACTTGTGAGTGGTGATGAGCGGTGAAGGACAGTGACGAGCCGCTCAAAGAGGTGCCGAGTGGTGATGAGCGGATCTGAGCAGTGCCGAGTTCTGCAGCGCGGTTCAGAACGGCAGTGAGAGGTGTTGGGCCTTTGTGTGCGGTCATTGGTGGTGGTGAGTGCCCGTGAGTGGTGATGAGTGGCTGAGAGAGGTGTCGAGTGGTGATGAGCGGCCCTGAGCGGTGCCGAGTGCTGCAGTGCGGTTCAGAGCAGCAGTGAGAGGTGTTGGGCCTTTGTGAGCAGTCATTAGTGATGCCGAGCGCCCGTGAGTGGTGACACCAACAGCAGCAGTAGGAAACACAAGCACAAGCAGCAAACGGTAGTTGTGAGCATCTGCATCACCATCGAGCGGCAACAGAATATGCTCAGCAGCAGTAGGGAACACCAGCATGAGCACAAGCAGCAAACGGTAGTAGTGAGCATCCGCTTCACCATCGAGCAGCAACAGAAAGTGCTCAGCAACAGTAGGAAACACCAGCACAAGCACAAAGCAGCGAATGGTAGTAGTGAGCATGCGCCTCACCATCGAGCAGCAACAAAAAATATTCGGCAGCAGTAGGAATGACCAGCACGAGCACAAGCAGCGAAAGGTAGTAGTGGGCATTGGCCTCACCATCGAGCAGCAACAGGAAAATATTCGGCAGCAGTAGGAAACACCAGCACGAGGACTAGCGCGAACGGTAGTATTGAGCATCCGTCTCACCATCGAGCAGCAACAGAAAATATTCGGCAGCAGTAGGAAACACCAGCATGAGGACTAGCGCGAACGGTACTATTGAGCATCCGTCTCACCATCGAGCAGCAACAGAAAATATTCGGCAGCAGTAGGAAACACCAGCACGTGCACAAGCAGCGAACGGTAGTAGTGAGCATCCGCCTCACCATCGAGCAGCAACAGAAAATATTTGACAGCAGTAGGAAACACCAGCACGGGCACAAGCAGGAACGGTAGTAGTGACCATCCGTCTCGCCATCGAGCAGCAACAGAAAGTATTCGGCAGCAGTAGGAAACACCAGTTAAGAACAGTTTCACCGTTCTCAACCGAGAGAACATATTAGGGTTAACCAACCAAGGCTGCAAGGAAACGCGCCCCGAACTGACCCAGCTTCACCACAACACTTCCGCCAAAGCACCCGCTCGCATCACCTTCATTGCGCCACCTAGTACCACCCCTCGCCAGCCCGTCGTAGTAGCAGTAGTAGCACCAGCAAATTCGTACTGTAGGGTGTATGTATTTCGCACCAGTCTTCTTTGCTACTCTGCAAAGCCGCTCGGTTTTTGGCTAAACAAGTTTTGTTTTGCCACTCTCATTGCCTTTTAAGAGAAATTACGCTCAAAAACTGCGTGACTTTTAGATATCTGTTTAATCCGTTCCCCTCGCGCTTACGTCAAGTCAACAAAGCAGATTCGCGAATCGGGACCTCACCCACCCACCCGCACACCAGCACGAGCACAAGCAACGAACGGTATTAGTGAGCATTCGCGTCACGATCGAGCAGCAACGGGAGGAGAAGGAGGACGACGAGGACCAGGACGAGGAGCAGGAGCAGGAGGAGGAGGAGAAGGAGGAGGAGGAGGAGGAGGAGGAGGAGGAGGAGGAGGAGGAGGAGGAGGAGGAGGAGGAGGAGGAGGAGGAGGAGGAGGAGGAGGAGGGGGACGACGACGACGACGACGAGAAGGAAGACGACGACGATGAGGAGGAAGACGACGAAGAAAAGGAGGGCGAGGAGTAGGAGTAGGAGGAGGAAGACGAGAAAGAGAAGGAGGAGGAGCAGGAGGAAGACGAGGAGTAGGAGGACGACGACAAGGAGGTTCACAACGAGGAGGAGGAAGATGAGGAGGAAGAGAACGAGCAGGAGCATGAGGAGGCGGAGGAGGAGGAGGAGGAGGAGGAGGAGGAGGAGGAGGAGGAGGAGGAGGAGGAGGAGGAGGAGGAGGAGGAGGAGGAGGAGGACGAGGAGGACGAGGAGGAGGAGGAGGAGGAGGAGGAGGAGGAGGAGGAGGAGGAGGAGGAGGAGGAGGAGGAGGAGGAGGAGGAGGACGAGGAGGAGGAGGAGGAAAAGGAGGAGGAGGAGGAGGAGGAGGAGGAGGAGGAGGAGGAGGAGGAGGAGGAGGAGGAGGATGAGGAGGAGGAGGAGGAGGAGGAGGAGGAGGAGGAGGAGGAGGAGGAGGAGGAGGAGGAGGAGGAGGAGGAGGAGGAGGAGGAAACACCAGCATGAGCACAAGCAGCAAACGGTAGTACTGAGCATCCGCCTCACAATCGAGCAGGAACATAAAATACTCAGCAGCAGTAGGAAACACCATCACGAGCACAAGCAGCGGACTGTAGTAGTGAGCATTTGCCTAACCATCGAGCAGCAACATCAAATATTCAGCGGTAGTAGGAAACACCAGCACGAGCACAAGCAGCGGACAGTAGTAGTGAGCATTTGCCTCACCATCGAGCAAAACCGGAAAATGTACAGCGGAAGTAGAAAACACCAGCACGAGCACAAGCAACGAACGGTAGTTGTCAGCATCCTCCTCACCATAGTGCAGCAACCAAAAATATTCTGCAGCGGTAGGAAACATTAGCACGAGCACAAGCAGCGAACGTAGTAGTGAGCATCCGCCTCACCATCGAGCACCAACATAAAATATTCAACAGCAGTAGGAAACTCCAGCACGAGCACAAGCAGCGAACGGTAGTTGTGAGCATCCGCCTCACCATCGAGCAGCAACAGAAAACATCCAGCAGCGGTAGGAAACACCAGCACGAGCACAAGCAACGAACGGTAGTTGTCAGCATCCGCCTCACCATCGAGCAGCGACGAAAATTATTCAGGAGCAGTAGGAAACACCAGCACGAGCACAAGCAGCGAACGGTAGTAGTGAGCATCCGCCTCACCATCAAGGAGCAACGGAAAATGTTCAACAACAGTAGGACACCAGCACGAGCACAAGCAACGAACGGTAGTAGTGAGCATTCGCCTCACGATTGAGCAGCAACGGGAGGAGAAGGAGGACGACGACGACGAGGACCAGGACGAGGAGCAGGAGCAGGAGGAGGTGGAGAAGGAGGAGGAGGAGGAGGAGGAGGAGGAGGAGGAGGAGGAGGAGGAGGAGGAGGAGGAGGAGGAGGAGGAGGAGGAGGAGGAGGAGGAGGAGGATGACGACGACGACGACGACGAGAAGGAGGACGACGACGATGCGGAGGAAGACGACGGGGAGGAAGAGGGCGAGGAGTAGGAGTAGGAGGAGGAAGACGAGAAGGAGGACGAAGAGGAGCAGGAGGAACACGAGGAGTAGGAGGACGACGAGGAGGAGGTTGCCAACGAGGAGGAGGAAGACGAGGAGGAAGAGGACAAGGGGTAGGGCAACAACGAGGAGGAGGAGGACGTCGAGCAGGTGAACGGGGAGGAGGAGGACGACGACATGGACAAGGACGAGGAGCAGGAGGAGGAGCAGGAGTAGGAGGAGGATGAGGAGGAGGAGGAGGAGGAGGAGGAGGAGGAGGAGGAGGAGGAGGAGGAGGAGGAGGAGGAGGTGGTGGAGAAGGAGGAGGAGGAGGAGGAGGAGGAGGAGCAGGAGGAGCAGGAGGAGGAGGAGGAGGAGGAGGAGGAGGAGGAGGAGGAGGAGGAGGAGGAGGAGGAGGAGGAGGAGGAGGAGGAGGAGAACGAGGAGGAGAATTTCAAGGAGGAGCAGGACGAGGAGGAGAAGGAAGGGGACGAGGAGGAGCAAGACGAGGAGGAAGAGGACGAGGAGAACGATGAGGAGTAGGAGGAGGATGAGGAGGACGAGGAGTGGGAGGACGACGAGACGGAGAACGATGAGGAGGAAGAGGACGAGGGGAGGGAGCTCGACGAGGATGATGAGCACGAGGAGGAAGAGGGGGAGGGGGGGCAGCAGGGGGAGGGGTGGGTGGTTCTGGAGGAGCAAAGCTGTCTGCTCTGCTTGCTGACCTGCCTGCCGTGACAGCGTGAGTTTGTGACTTGTGATGCAAGTCCCCCATCACTGAGGCATCTCAATAGCCCTCTCCCACAAAACAAAACCGTTTGAAATGCTAAGCCCTCGTTCCCTTCTCACCTCCTACCCTTCCTTCTTGCCTTGTACCCTTTCTTCTGCCCCTCCCTGTCTCTCTCCCATCCCCCTAGACCCATATACCTCGCTCATTGCACCAAGTCCCTCATTCCAACAGGTTCATCCTGCCTCTCCTACCTTTCCTTCCTCTCAATCTCTCCTTCCCTTCTGTCCCGTTCTTCCTCTTCCCACCCCTCTTTCTTCCCCTCAACAAATGGTATTTTTTAACTCCGCTGCTTCCCGCTTCCTCCCCCAAATCGTATTCCTCCTCCTCCGCTGCTTCCCGCTTCCTCCTCCTCCTCCTCCTCCTCCTCCTCCTCCTCCTCCTCCTCCTCCTCCTCCTCCTCCTCCTCCTCCTCCTCCTCCTCCTCCTCCTGCTTATCTCCCCGCCAACCCGCTTTCTACAGACGACGGGGAGAACAAGCTTGTTCAGAACCAGAAACCCGTATCCTCTCCACTCATAGCCTCCTTCTCCCATACCCCCTACCCTCTCATCCTGTCACTGGCCCTCTCCTCCCCTTCCCTCCCCCCCTCTCCCCTCACTCCCTTACCCCCAGCCGTTGTGCCACCTAGCCTCGTTCTCCCATCCCCCCTACCCTCTCATCCTGTCACTGCCCCTCTCCTCCCCTTCCCTCCCGTCCCCTCCCTCACTCCCTCCCCGCGGCCTTTGTGCCACCTGTCGCCCTGCCTCTGCGGGTTCCTTCCCACAGCCTGGATTGCTGCGGGCGACGAGGAGAGGAGAACGAGTGTGAGCTCAATTAGAGAGCCTCTTCCCTCTTTACCCCTTTCATTGCTCTCCCTTCCGCGTTGTCTCCCCACCACCTCGCTCGCTGCATGCGACGAGGAGAAGGAGATTGGGCTAAATCAGAGAACCAATTCTATCGTTACCCCTTAAAAGGCTTCTTCCTCTTCCTTTCCTCCACTTTACATTTCCTGTCCCCTTTCCCCTCCCTCCTGCCCCACCCGTTGTCTCCCCATCCCCATCGCCTCGCTCGATGCATGCTATGAGGAGAGGAGAACGAGATTGGGCTCAACCCCGTTCCTTTCCACCCCTTGACTCGTTCTGCCTTCTTCCCCACCCTGTCACCTCCCCACACACCCGGCCCTCTTCCCACTCCCTTTTTCTCCTCCCCTGGTCTCCCCACCCTCGCTCGCAACAGACGATGAGGAGGACGAGTTCCCGTTCGTCCCCACCCTCAATCATAGCTTCGTTCTCCTTGGCACTCCTTGCCTTGTTCCCACCTCTCCTCCACAACCCTCTTCCTCCCATCACTTCCTCTCTTCTCCGAATCCCTTCTCTTCCTCCCCTCCAGGTGACGAGGAGAACGAGTTTGGGCTCAACCAGAGGGCGGGCGCTGCTGATGTGGCGCTGGCAATCATTGCGCAGGCGCATGCTTCCTGGCAGCTTCTCACCGAGGACAGCCCGCCGTGTCTCTCCCCCTGGAGCCCCATCAACCTCGTGCTCTCCGCGCGCGCGTTCTTCGCGGCTCATGGCGCAAATACACTGATCAGTACTAAAAAGAGGCGGGATGTACAGGAGCCGAGAAGGGTGGCAACGGCGGTGATGGTGGTGGCACTTGTTGCGAATCTCGATAGGTAGTTGCAGATATATTTAAAGGTGTTATGGCTTTCAGTAATTGAACTTTTGGAAACTTGGGGCTTCCTTGCATGGATTGCAAAATTTGATTGTCATGGTATTTTTGATTTTGTTAGCTACACATGAATGAACACTTGTTTTGTTAACATGTCAGTATCCTCTGCATCTACATTGGTTTCAATGGTCATTATCGAGGCCTAGCAATATACCGTAGTTGTATTCTCCTCCTCCTCGCACATGCTCAACTGTTTTTTTCCCACCGTGTCTGTGTAGTTTGACTTGTGTTTTGCTAAGTCCTGGCTCGCCTTGTCTTCGACTTCCCTTTCCTCGTCACACAGACTTAAGCACGTGTTTTCGTCTGCCACTCGGTTTTAACTTAGCCCTCACTTTTGATTCGGCGCGCTTACGACAGGTGCAGAACGATTCACCGTACACTTCGCGCAAGTGGTGTTTTGTGTTTGTCCGCGCTCGCTCGCTGCTGGGTGCGCACGCTGTACACTTTGCGAGCTTGACGCTTGCAGCCAACAATCAATTGGCTAACGCCGGGGGTAGGGCACTGTACAGTTGGGAAGAATAGCACGTGGCGATTTTTGTTCCTCAGCTTCTGTTTGTTATCTGATTCTCTTTCGGGATTCTGGTTGGCTGTTTGTTTTGTTGAGCTGTATTTATTTATTCGCCCTTGCTACTCTCATTCGTTTGTTCGCACCCGTTATTGCTGCTCAGTATAGACCGTCTGCTGTTTTGCTAACCTAGGTCGTTCGTCACCACCACCCTGCATGTTTTAACGAACTTAAGCACGAAAATTTGGCCCCTGCCCTCTCCACCCTCCTGCTTTTTCGTTCTCTGGGTAGAAGGCGAGCCTCAAGCTCAGCAGCAGTTGCGAAAACAAAACCAGTGGGCATGGGTTTATTTCACGACCTGAAGCACGACTTTGACCCAGCTGTTATTTTTGCGCTTGGGCTGGATTGGCAGCGTGATTGCTTACGACTGTTGGACAATGCAGGTGTGCGCTTTGCGATTCTTTTTTTCTCAATCTCCGAACTCTACAGTTTGTGTTCCCCACCCAATCCCGCTCATCCTGCTTGTTTCTGAGCTGTAAACGACGCTTAGGCAAGGAACTGTTTGAGCTTGAAGCTTGACTCTGCACAAACAGTTGAATGATTCTTTAAGGCGCAATACACCTTTTCGCTTTAAGCGTTTGTCGCGTCCTTCAGTTCAATTTGCGTTTGAAACATTCTGAACGTTCTGAACCGAGAGTTAAAATTAGGGTTTCACATCCAAGGCTGCAAGAGAAGGCGCCCAGGAATCGAACCCAGCTTCACGATAACCCTTCAACCAAATTTCCCAGCTCTCTCACATCATCTTCGGTGCGCCACCTAGTAGTAGTAGTACCACCCTCCACCCACCGCCCGTCCTTTGTAGTAGCACAGCAGCACCAGGTACTAGTAGTAGAACTAGGACTACTAGTTAGCTTTAGTAGAAGCCGTAGAAGCCGTTCGTATCGACCCCCAGGGTTTTCCCGTTTGTAGACTCATATACGCGCGCATGTGGTGTTTGTTTGTTTGTTTGTTTTTTTTTTTTCTCTCCTGTCGATATGCATTTACTAGTACTCCTACTACATCGTCGCTTTGTGACAATGTTTTTACCCATGGTTCACTCCGGCGACGTGCAGGTCTCGTCGGAGGTTTTCGGAGCACAGGCGGCGAGCAGGCGGCGGCCAAGCGAGTGCGAGCCGCTTGTCTCGCTGACTCGCGACTACTACGAGTAGTTGTACACATGCAGGTCCTGGGACGGCCTTGGTCCATAGAGTGAGCATCGAATGCGAGAGAAGCGCGAAGGATGTGTCAATCTTGTGGCGTATGTATGACGAAATGCGGCGAATAACTGACGACAGGCGACCGTTACCGACCATGCTCGACCGCTCCTCATAAAACACGCTTCAGTTACAAACGCGTACGCAGCCATTGCATTCATGAAGCTGTCGCAGGTGCTGTCGCAAGCGCACGCGACAGCTGGTTACAATCGCAACAAGTTCCCCGTTTTCGCGCTGCTGTGCCAACTGCTTCACCCTCGTCACTCTCTATGGGTACGCGTTACTGGCCGGGACTCGTTACCGCTACACGCCCCTGTCCTCCATACCTCTCCACATCCTCCCGAGGCCTCGAGAGTCCTCATTTTCCCCAATTTCCTGTCCAACGCATCTCTCCCCCACCACCCGTGTTTCTCTTCTGAGTCGATTTCCTTTTTAATCTCCCACCTCACAGCCCCTGACTTGCTTCCGCCGATCACACTCAGCCTCCACTGAACCCCCCTGTTCCCTTTCCGCTCCCCCCAAGCCAAGTCCCCCCTCTCTCCCCTTCCCCCAACCAGCACCGTCCCCCGGTTTTCCGGGACTCTGGATATTGACGACGCCGCTGACGTGGATCTGCGCAGCAGCAGCGGCGGGGAAGGGCGGGGAGGGGGAAGCGCTGGAGACGTTAAGCTGGCTGGTGCCAGCATTCCTCGCCGCATCGTATTTTGAGGCGTATTTTGAGGCGCCTCAAAATGCATCCCCATCCCCATCCCCATCCCCATCCCCATCCCACCGTCCCTATCCCTATCAAGGGCACTGGAGTCGTTAAGCTGGCTGGTGCCAGCATTCCTCGCCGCATCATATTTTGAGGCGTATTTTGAGGCGCCTCAAAATGCATCCCCATCCCCATCCCCATCCCACCGTCCCTATCCCTATCAAGGGCACTGGAGACGTTAAGCTGGCTGGTGCCAGCATTCCTCGCCGCATCGCTGCTCACTGCCTTCCTCCTGCTGCTACTCATCGTTAGCCTCTCTGCCTCCGCCAAGGCAAATCTGCAGGCCAACAGCGTCAACAACGTCTTCTTCTGTGCCTTCCATGTCAGTCAGCTGCCCTTCTTGCCAGTCAGCTGCCCTTCTTGCCAGTCAGCTGCCCTTCTTGCCAGTCAGCTGCCCTTCTTGCCAGTCAGCTGCCCTTCTTGCCAGTCAGCTGCCCTTCTTGCCAGTCAGCTGCCCTTCTTGCCAGTCAGCTGCCCTTCTTGCCAGTCAGGCGCCTTCCATCCCAGTCATTCACCTTCCATCCCAGGCAGCCGATTTCCATGTCACTCACTCAACTTTCATGTCATCCCCCCTCCATCTACCCTCACTTGTCCCTCCCTCGGCCCCCATGCTTCCTCCCTCCCCCCCACACAGGCGATTTCAACGTTTTCCAACACAGGGGCAGAACTGCTGAACGATAACCTAATTTTGGGCGCCTCAAAAATAGACCCCTCGGCCCCCATGCTTCCCTCCTCCTTCCCGCACAGGCTATGTCGACGTTTTCCAACACAGGGGCGGCACTGCTGAACGATAACCTAATGGGGTTCGTGAGGGCGCCAGCTCTGGTCATCGTCACGTCGGTCTTCATTCTCATTGGCAATACCATCATGTACCCGCCCACGCTGCGAGCCCTCCTGCTTCTGCTCCGGCACTTCTCACGAGGAGAGAAAAGGGTAAGGTCTGCACCGCACTGCACCCTCTTGAATTTGATCACTCTAAGAGGGAACTTCTGCACCGCACCATACCGGTCTCGTAGATGGCTAATGACTGCACCCTTACCCGTCTTTCCCTTCACATGGTTGCCGTTTTCGCACTAGGTCCCCCACCGCTCTCCAGTCACCTCTCTTCTTGTTCCTGGCTCCCTCCCTCCCTGTGTTGCACTGCACGCACACTTGGCAATCCTTTTTTCTACTGTACCATCCTGCAGGTTGTTTTCGAGGCTGCACATCAATTCTAAAAAACAACCTCCTTTTTTCTTCTTCTACTGTACCATCCTGCAGTGTGATCCCTCAGAACATCTACTCACACTCTCCTGCATTTGCACACACACTGCGTGCACCCCTGTTGAGGTCATGTGAAAACAGTCTCTTACACCGCAGGGTTCCTATTTTGAAAAATCTATCTGCTACCCCCACACCTACATTGTTGACCCCTTCAGTTTGTCCACACCTACCTACCGCATCTCATCTTACAGGCGCACAAATGCCATTAGCACCTCTTCTGAGGTGACTCAAAAGCAGACTCATTGCAGTCGGCGTTTCTTACATCGAGAAGCGTCTGCAACCCTCTCTCACCCTTTGCCCTGGCCGGCAGTTTGTCTACTCGTACCTTCTTTTGCGCCCGCGCAAGTGCTACACGCACCTCTCTTGAGGTGCTTCAAAAGCAGACTCATAAAACTGGGTTCTTCTTATACTGACAAGTGATTTTCGCCCCCCTCACCCCGTGCCCCTCAGTTCGTCTACTCCTACCTTCTCGTGCACCCACGCAAGTGCTACACGCACCTCTTCCCACCGCGCTCCACCGTGATGCTCGTGCTAACAGTGCTCGCGTTCAATCTCACGGAGTTTGTCTTCTTCTGTGCCACTGACTGGACCTCGCCTGCCATTGACGGCTTCACCAGTGAGTTGCATGTGGACTGCGGGTATGCGAAAAAGACCAACAAACAAGGATTACGTATATATTCCCAGAGGATTTGTCTTCCTGAGGGAACTTTTGCGTCGACTCAAAAGTCACCTAAAGACCAACAAACAAGGATTACGTACGTATTTCCTGAGGATGTGTCTAGGAAGAGAGCAATTCTTCCTTTTGGTGGGGGCTTTGTCTGCCCAAAAAAAAAAACAAAAAACAAAACAAAACCCCACACACAATGTTACTCCACATTCCCCCCACCTCATGGTTGTGTGTGAGTGCATGCCAGGTGGATATTGGCTGGATATTTCCAATCTGTGAGCACACGCAATGCTTTTTGAGGCACCTCAAACACAGTTTCTCCACTCTTCTCCCTCTCTACCCTTTGTGTTTGTGTGTGTGCGCATGGCAGGCGGGACCAAGGTACTGGCAGGATATTTCCAATCTGTGAGCACACGCAACGCGGGATTCAACGTAATTGCCATCGGCCTCCTGCGCCCCCCCATGCTGCTGCTATACCTGGGCATGATGTGAGTGCATGGTGTGAGAGTGCAAGGGGCATGGTGTGAGAGTGCAAGGGGCATGTTGTGAGAGTGCAAGGGGCATGGTGTGAGAGTGCAAGGGGCATGGTGTGAGAGTGCAAGGGGCATGGTGTGAGAGTGCAAGGGGCATGGTGTGAGAGTGCAAGGGGCATGGTGTGAGAGTGCAAGGGGCATGGTGTGAGAGTGCATGGGACATCACCCTCCCTTACATATCCCAGCCTCCCTTCCAAACTCTGCTCAGGTGTGTGGCCATGAATCCTTTGCACAAAAAAATATCATTACCAACTCTGGCTTCACATGGAGTTTCTGAAAATTCTAAAAAACACCCAGCCCCCATTCCATTCCATTTCATTCCATTCCAATCCAATCTCACAACCGCCCTCCTTTCCATCCCCACAACCACCCACCCTTCCATTCCATTCCCTGCTGCTCTCTCGAACGTGAGCAGGTACGTGGCTGTGTATCCTCTGTACCTGACGAGGCAGACATCGAGGGAGCAGAGGGAGGTGTATGATGACGAGGATATTGGGGTGTTCTGGGAAGACCTTCAGGCAAGTTCTGTTCCAAGTCCCTGCGAATGAGTGAGAACTTGTGGGATGGGGAGGGGTGTGGGGGATGGGGAGGGGTGTGGGGGATGGGGAGGGGTGTAGGGGACGAGGCAGACGTCAAGGGAGCAGAGGGAGGTGTAAGACGATGAGGACATTGGGGTGTTCTGGGAAGACCTGCAGGCAAGTTCTTGAGTGGCTTTTGAGTTGACCCAAAAGTCAAGGGAGCAGAGAGAGGTGTATGACGACGAGGACATTGGGGTGTTCTGGCAAGATCTGCAGGTGAGTTCACATTACATCCCTCTGATGCAACAGCAGTCAGATCCTTCGCCCGGGAAACTGCCACTGCTAAAAAATAAAAAATTGGCGCTTAAGACGTCGAGGGAGCAAAGGGAGGTGTACGATGACGAGGACATTGGGATGTTCTGGGAAGACCTGCATTCAAGTTCTTGAGTGGCTTTTGAGTCGAGATGGTCATTAAAGTCTGTTGTGTGTGTGTGTGTGTGTGTGTGTGTGTGTGTGTGTGTGTGTGTGTGTGTGTGTGTGTGTGTGTGTGTGTGTGTGTGTGTATGTGTGTGTGTGTGTGTATGTATGTGTGTGTGTGTGTGTCAGTGTCAGTGTCTGTGTCTGCGTGTGTGTGTGTGTGTGTGTGTTTTCACTCTTGAGAAACAACTGGGCTTTTCCATCCTTCACCGCCCACCATCCATGCCACTCTCATCCCTCCTCGCTTGTCATTTCGTAACATGGCACATCACACGGCGTGACGCAAGTCATTCAGGGGGGTGTGCTGCTGGATCAGAAGTTATGTAAACAGATAGTGATTCAGCTGGCCTTATACATCACCTGCCCATGTGCCTTCCCTCGACAATCCATGCAGGGGGGGGTGTTGGACCACGGGGTGTTCACCCAGGGCAGAGGGCTGCTCCTGCGCGATTCAGCGATGCTCTTCATGGCTCTGCTGGTGATCTGCCTCATAGAGAGCGCCAACATCACCAACGACATCTCCAACTTCAACATCTTTAACATCGCCTTTGAGCTCATCAGGTGAGTGAGTGCGCCCAGTCCCCACATGCTTGTTCAAACCTTCATCAAGGGACAGCTTAGGCCCTCGATCGCTCTTAATGGCTCTGCTGGTGATCTGCCTTATAGAGAGCGACAACATCACCAACGACATCTCCAACTTCAACATCTTTGAGCAGGTGTGTGTGTGTGTGTGTGCGCGCGCGCGCGCGCGCGTGTGCGTGTGCGTGTGCGTGTGCGTGTGTGTGTGCGTGCGTGCGTGCGTGCGTGCGTGCGTGGGTGTGTGTGTGTTATTTTTTTGTCGGTGCCTCAAAACCCGTCTTCTCAGGTGCTTCGCTTGAGAGGCGTCTCCATAGTGGATTTGGCAAATTTAACCTCTTCTAATTTTGACATGCCTTAGTAATGTGCTTCGCCTGGCCACAGCTGCTTTCTGGTGACTCTGTCTGAACATCTCTCAACATACCCATCCTTGCACGTGTTCTTTCCTGGCAGTGGATACGGCAATGTGGGTCTCTCCCTGGGCTACACCTGTCCACCTGAAGCTGGCCCCAGCTGTGTCTCCCCTCCTTACAGCTTCTCTGGTGCGTCCTATCATATAAATTCCCCAAGTGCCTTCTCGGGTGCGTCATATCGTAGAATTTCCCAAAGTGCCTTCTCTGGAATTCCTGGTCCAAGGTGGTTCGTAATTTAGAATTCTCAAAAACACCCCGCAGGCGCGGGGGAAATTCCTGGAACTAGAAGGTCCAGGCGATATTTTCAATAGGCTCCTGAAAACCATATTATGCCTCTCTCTCTTCTTCCCTCGAATCCCTCTGATTTCTACCCACAGGCGTGTGGGGCCCTTGGTCGAAGCTGGTGCTCGTGCTCATGATGCGGCTCGGAGTTTTTCTCTTAGATGACTCGGAACAAAGTCATGTTTCTCTCTCCTTTCCACGTACCCCTTTTGCTCCCCACAGGCGTGTGGAGCCCTTGGTCCAAGCTGGTGCTCGTGCTCGTGATGCTGCTGGGTGTTTTTTCTTCTGGTTGCACGTCAGTAATAGGTCATGTTTCCCTCTCTCCTTTCCCCGTACCCATTTTCTCCCCACCTTGCAGGTGTGTGGAGCCCTTGGTCCAAGCTGGTTCTCGTGCTGGTAATGCTGCTGGGCCGCCACAGAGGCCTGCCTGACAACATCGACGCTGCCATCTCCCTCCCCAACCGCAACCAGTTCATTCCTGAACCACCTGCACTGCCTGCCCCACCTTCTGCATCTGCTGTATCTGCCGTCCCTGTTGTCGCACCTTGCATGCGTTCCACGTGTGCACCAAGGTGACTGAAGAGTCGACTCACGAGTCGCTGCCATCCCCATCCCAGGCCTGCACCAGTTCCTCCCTCCCCCGGCCGTACCACCCTCGGCCGCACGTCCCCCTCCCACCCAGGTTGCTCCTCCCTGCTGCTCCTCCCCTAGTCGCCCCTCCCCTAGTCGCCCCTCCCCTAGTCGCCCCTCCCCTAGTCGCCCTCCCCTAGTCGCCCCTCCCCTAGTCGCCCCTCCCCTAGTCGCCCCTCCCCTAGTCGCCCCTCCCCTAGTCGCCCCTCCCCTAGTCGCCCCTCCCCTAGTCGCCCCTCCCCTAGTCGCCCCTCCCCTAGTCGCCCCTCCCCTAGTCGCCCCTCCCCTAGTCGCCCCTCCCCTAGTCGCCCCTCCCCTAGTCGCCCCTCCCCTAGTCGCCCCTCCCCTAGTCGCCCCTCCCCTAGTCGCCCCTCCCCTAGTCGCCCCTCCCCTAGTCGCTCCTCCCCTAGTCACTCCTCCCCTAGTCGCCCCTCCCCCGGCCGCTCCCCTCCCCACCGCTACTCACCTCAGCCTCCCCCCCCTTCCCTCCCCCTCTCCCCCGCTCCACCAACCACTCCACCTTCCACATCTGCTGCATCTGCTCTGCGACCACGTGCTACCAACCAACGAAACGGTGTCTTGCTTCTGGAGGTGGAGAACGGACATAGAAAGTTCCTGCTTTGTTGCTCCAATCGCTTCACTCAGACTTGGGTTCTCCGACTGTCATGCTCCGAGGCGCTGCTTCTTTATCTTCGGTTTCCAATTTCCAATCTACATAATCGAACTAGCTGAGTGCTGATTACTTTGGTTAGTCGCTGCTAGTAATCCAAATGCAAATACAGTATCAACACGTCTCACATATGATCATACAATGCATGCAGAAAGAACCTCTAGTCCATCCGAGGGTGTGAACCGCTGTGCTTTGAGCTGACTCAAAATGTATCCATTGGTCATGTAGCACATGCGCCACCTCTAGTTTCCCAGTCAATGGTTTATCATCGCGGCGCCACCCACTCGCCCTCACCACCTCACACAGCCCGTCAAACCTCTCCCCCCCCCCCCCCCCCCCCCCCCCCCCCCCCCCCCCCCCCCCCCCCCCCCCCCCCCCCCCCCCCCCCCCCCCCCCCCTCTCGCCCCTCCTTGCCATGCGCTCATGAGGCATGCGCCCTCCCATCCCTCCCTCACTTCCTCTTATTCACTGATTCCAGCAGCAGTCGCCAGTCTCCCGGCCGCGCCAGCAAGCCATCGTCACAGCGCCACCCGTTCGCTCTCAGCGCCTCACACAACCCATCAAACCCTCCCGCCATGCGGCCAAAGGAAGCATGCAGCATCTCTAGCTTCTCGAAAGAGGCTAACTCGGCTGCAGTTGCACTTGCACCCCTCATTTCCTCTTCTCCTCAGGTGCCAGCTGCAGCCACCAATCGCCCACCGGCCGGGCCACCATACGAAGAATGCAATACCTCTATCTGATTTCCCCAAGAATGCAAAGGCTGCTGCACTTGCACCCCTCACTTCCTCTTCTCCTCAGGTGCCAGCAGCAGCCACCAATCGCCTCCCTCATTTCGAAGTATTATAGCTTGGAAGATGGTTGACTGAGGCAGTTCAGAGGCGAGAGGTTTGTCCTCTTGTGGATTTTCAGCTTTTTCGTCCAATAGAATTCAAGTTAATCACATGCCATTTTTGTCCCCCTAATGTTCCTAAGAAGTTGCACCCTGCCTTTAAAGGCACAAGTGAGGGATTTTTGGGAGCTGGGGGTGCAATTTTCAGGTGGGGCAGTGCAAGTGAATCCAGCAGAGGCGAATTCGGCTTCACTTGCACCCCTCATTTCCTCTTCTCCTCAGGTGCCAGCAGCAGTCGCCAGTCTCCTGGCCGAGCCAACAAGCCATCGTCACAGCGCCACCCATTCGCTCTCAGCGCCTCACACAACCCATCAAACCCCGCAGCCATGCGGTCATACGAAGCATGCAGCACCTCTAGCTTCCCCAAGGAAGCGAATTCGGCTGCGCGGGCTTGGACGTGGGTGCGCGCTTGGGGTGCGAGAGAGTGGATGGTGGGGCAGAGGACGTGTGGAGAGAGGGTGCGGAGGTAGGCGGCTTGCAGGGCCGCTCTGAGGAAATCCCTTGGGAGTGCCCCCTCCTTCAACACTACCTGCATGGATGGTGGTTGCAGGGGTGAGAAGGCATGGGGATGAGAGGAGAAGGAATAGATGTGAGGGGAAGAGGAGAGCATGCAGCACCTTGATCTGCTTCCCCAAGGAGGAAAACTCGGCGGCGCGGGCTTGGACGTGGGTGCGCGCTTGGGGGGCGAGGGAATGAATGGTGGGGCAGAGGACGTGTGGAGATAGAGTGCGGAGGTAGGCGGCTTGCAGGGCCGCTCTGAGGAAGTCCCGAGGGAGTGCTCCTTCCTTCAACACTACCTGTATGGATGGTGGGTAGAAAGAGTGGATGGTGGGGCAGAGGACGTGTGGAGAGAGCGTGCGGAGGTAGGCGGCTTGTAGGGCCGCTCAGAGGAAGTCCTTTGGGAGGGCCCCCTCCTTCAACACTACGTGCAAGAAGAATGGTGAGTGGTTGATAGGGGTGAGAAGGCAAGAGGTGTGGAGAGAGAGTGCGGAGGTAGGCGCCTTGCAGGGCCGCTCGTAAGAAATCCCAAGGAAGAGCTCCTTCTTTCAACACAACCTGCATGGTGAGTGCGTGGGGTGAGGAGGAATGGCGGTGTAACGAGGAGATCATTTAGTGGCAGGTGGATTGGAGGGCAGCCCGGAGGAAATTCCGAGGGAAAGCTCCTTCTTTCAACACAACCTGCATGGTGAGTGCGTGGGGTGAGGAGGCATGGCGGTGTAACGAGGAGATCATTTAGTGGCAGGTGGATTGGAGGGCAGCCCGGAGGAAATCCCAAGGGAAAGCTCCTTCTTTCAACACAACCTGCATGGTGAGTGCGTGGGGTGAGGAGGCATGGCGATGGAACGAGGAGATCAATCTAGCGGCAGGCAGGTGGATTGGAGGGCAGCCCGGAGGAAGTCCCGAGGGAGAGCTCCTTCTTTCAACAGAACCTGGATGGTGGGTGACAGATAGGGGTGGGTGGGAAAGCAAGAGGTGAGAATCTAGATGCAGACAGCTTGCAGTGGGCAGAAAGAGTGGATGGTGGGGCAGAGGGGGTGTGGGGCGAGCGTGCAGAGGTAGGCGGCTTGTAAGGCCGTTGTCACTCATGGTTGGAAGGGCAGCAGCACTAAGAGAAAGTGAGGCGCCTCAAAAAAAGTGGGGCAAGCGTGCAGAGGTAGGCGGCTTGTAAGGCCGCTCGGAGGAAGTCCCGAGGTAGAGCCTCCTCTTTCAACACAGCCTGGTGAGTGACAGGGGTGAGAATGCATGGAGGTAAGAGGAGAAGGAATGGATGTGAGAGGAAGAGGAGAGGTAGTCTGCTTGGAGCGCCGCACAGAGGAAGTCCCGAAGTAGATCCCTCTTCTAGCTCAACTTGCATGGTGCTCTTTCAAGAGAGGGATCTCTTTCGAGACTTCCTCCGTGCGGCGGCGTGACACCCCTAACACAACCTGCATGGTGAGTGTCAGGGGTGGAAGGGACGGGATTGAGACGAGGAGGCACACATGCGGAGGTGGCCGGATTTGTAAGGCCGCCCGGAGGAGGTCCCTAGACAGATCCCTCTTTCAACACAACCTGCAGGCCCCCACACATTCCCGTTTCTCCCACCCACCCACGCACACAGATGCACACAGCATGAACCTGCATCTGCCCTGTACGCTCGTCCTGTCAAAGGAGGTACTTCTCTCCTCGGCATATCCCATCCCAGCCACCGCCTCTGCCTCCTCCCACTGCACATCACAGCACAGCACACCTGTGTGCCTCACTCCCATCTCAAAACACAAGCATGCGCAGCAGCACACGCACCTGCATCTGCCCCGTACGCTCGTCCCTCCCAAGCAGGTACTTCTCTCCTCGGAATATATCAGCCATGGTCTCAGCCTCCCGCTCTGTGTGCGCCACTGCGGCCAAGGGCACCCCAAATTCGATCCAGTTCTCACTCCCTGTGCCGGGAAGGGGTGGAGGAGACGCCTGGGAAAGGGGACGCGGAGAAGGGGCGGGGGAGGGGAACGGGTGGAGAGGGGGGAATGAGGGGGTTGAGAGGTCTCTTTTTGCGCCACTGCTGCCAAGGGCACTCCGAACTCGATCCAGTTCTCACTGCCTGTGCCTGGACGAGGAGGGGGAGAGGCCTGGAAAGGGGAGGAGGGGAGGGGGTTCGGGTGGAATGGGAGTAAGGGAGTGTTGAGACGTCTGTCTGTGTGAGCCACTGCTGCCTACTTGCCAAGGGCACTCCGAACTCAATCCAGTTCTCGCTACCTGTGCCGGGGAGAGGTGGAGGGGACGCCTGTGAAGAGAGAAAGGGGAGAAGGAGGGATGAGATCTCTCTGTGTGAGTGAGGCACTGCAGCTAAGTGGCACTTGTAACGCACATGCAATGCACATGCACCATACATACATGCACCACACATACATCACACATGCACCACACCAGAGATACCTTGGGCGAAAATATCGATTTGAGGGGCGGCAGAATGGGTTCCTGGGAGTTGACTTCGATGACACCTGGCACCCTGCCATTGGTCACGTACTCTGCCAGGACAATATCTGGGGAAAGAACAGTGGTAGAAGAGAGCACAGGGGAAGCAGAGAGGACAGCGCAGCGGAGCAAGCTACTTAGACAGAAACAGGTGAAGGAGGGAACTAATTGAGTTGTGCTTACAGCGACCGTCGTGCCTTACAGCTCAAAGACACGACGGTCGCTGCTCTGGCGAATGTTTTTGGGGCGCCTCAAACTTTTTGAGATGATTTTTTAGGCGCCTAAAAAACAATTGTGGTTACAGCTCAAAGACATGACATGACAATAGCTGCTCTGGAAGTAACTATCTGCTTCTGAATCCACTGGATTGAATGCTTGTGAGGCTTCCTGCAAGCAAGTACTTATTTTACCTGCTCTGAAGGGGTTGAGCGTCCTGAGTTGAACGGCCTTGTACGAGCGGTAGTTGCAAAACAGGTGGGCGGCGGACAGCAGGCCATGAGTTGCCCACAGTAGAGGGCCCCGGGTGCCCACGTGAGGAGCAACGACGATGCCTAGTGCCATCCCCAATGTCTTGCTCACCATGCCCTGTGCCTCTGCGCGTGCTAGCACCTGAGGGGAGAGGAAGAGGAGGAACAGTCAGAGAAAACACACAAATGGTTGGGTTCGGACAGCAGGGCGTGTGTTGCCCAGAGTAGAGGACCCCTCGTGCCCACGTGAGGAGCAATGGCGATACCCAGGGCCATGCCCAATGTCTTGCTCACCATGCCCTGTGCCTCTGCACGTGCTAGCACCTGTGGGGAGAGGAAGGGGAGGAGCAGAAAGTGAAGTACAATCACATGGGTGGGCCGGACAGCAGGGCATGCGTGGATCAGCCACAGCAGAGGACCCCTGGTGCCTACGTGAGGAGCAATGGCGATGCCTAGAGCCATCCCCAATGTCTTGCTCACCATGCCTTGTGCCTCTGCCCGCGCCAAGACCTGGGGGGAGATGAAAAGGAGGAACAGTCAGAGAAAGCACACGAAAGGTTCGGTTCGGACAGCACGGCATGCGTCGCACACAGCAGAGGGCCCCGGGTGCCCACGTGTGGAGCGATGGCGATACCCAGGGCCATGCCCTGTGGCACAGGAAGGCAGGGTGGAGTGGAAGGGAGAACACGGGGAGCGTAATGAGAGGAGCACAGCACCGGGCCTATCTTGCCCATGTGTGGGGCGATGGCGAGGCCTCATGCCATTCCAATTATCTTGCCCTGTCTTTGAGGCGCCTCAAAAGTAATGACGCCTACTGCCATCTCCAATGTCTTGCTCGATGCTCACCATGCCCTGTGCGGCTGTGCTTCTGCGCACACACACCAACACTCGGGGTGGTTGGGTTGGGGAAGAAGAAGGGGGATGAAAGGCTGACGAGTTAAGACATGTGACTCGTGAACCTGAAAACCATAAGAGCCGCTTCCTTCCAGTCCCAGCACAAGCCTGTATAAGCACCGATATAAATGCTAGGCTTTTTTAAAAGCTTTCTGCAATTGGAACCCATCCAACCCCAGCCAGGATTATAAGTCCAAGGAGGGAGGATATCCCCCCTCCTGGCCCCATTGGCTCCCGAGACAGCGTTGAAACTCACCTCGGCAAAGTTTCTTCTGCCTGCCAGCCCGGCATAAAACCGGTTTCTCGTGGCACTCTGCACGAGGCTCGAGGCAGAAACCCCCCCCCCCCCCCCCCCCCCCCCCCCCCCACCCCCGGCTGCAGCGGCCAGCTGGACGAAGTACTGCGGGAAGGTGGCGGTGAGGAGCTCGAGGGAAGCGGAGAGATTCTCCACGAGGTCGGAGCGAGGGAATGTCCCTTCACAGGCCCTCTCACCTGCCCACATCGGCAATCTCACTTGCTCGCATCGGCACTCTCACCTGCCCGACCTAAGGTGCTGCCTTACCTCGGCGAAATTTCTTCTGCCTGCCAGCCCGGCGTAGAACCGGTTTCTCGTGGCGCTCTGCACGAGGCTGGAAGCAGAGAACCCCGCCCCAGCCGCAGCGGCCAGCTGCACGAAGTACTGTGGGAAGGTGGCTGTGAGGAGCTCGAGGGAAGCGGAGAGGTTCTCGACGAGGTCGGAGAGCAGGCGCGAGCGCTTGGGGGAGACGTCGAAATGGCGGCCAAACTGGGAGAGCGTGACTTTTGCTGCGTAGCCCAGCCCGTCTTTTAGGACCCAGTTGACCGCTGCTGCTGCTGGGATGGCGCCCTTGCCCAGCCCCACCGCGTACAGCATTGCCTGGAGCGGCGAGGAGGGAAGAGAAAGTGGGAAGAGAGGGAGGAGAGACGAATGGTTCCAGGTTGAACTGGGAGAGCGTGACTTTGGCTTCTTTCAGCACCCAGTTGACCCCTGCTGCTGCTGGGATGGCGCCTTTTCCCAGCCCCACCGCGTACAGCATTGCCTGCAGGAGGGAGAGAGGGAAGAGGGAAAGGGAGGGAGAGAGGGAAGAGAGGGAGGAAAGAGAGGGAGAGAGTGTGGTTGTGTGACGTGACTGTGACTGATCCCGTGTCTAACCAGGATGAAGAATGCAGTCGGGCTCCAGGGTGGGCGGCAAGGGCTGCAGCAGCTAGGAAGGAGGAGAAATACGCGCGACGGAACGCGTGGGTGGGCGTCCACGCCCTTGCAGTCGAGACATACGGCTGTCCTTCCCCGGGGGGGTGATGGCTTACCTGCGGCAGTGCGCGGAGCTGGCGGCCAAGCTGCCATACAACGCAGCACCTACCTCATACGAGGCAGCCAAGCTGCTGACGGAGTACCGCCAGCCAGCGCTGGAGGGTCTGCCTACAGAGAGCGCAGCGCAGGCCAATGCCCTCCGCTCCAAGACCAACGAGGAGTGATACTAAGGAGAGGCGAGGAGAAACCCCCCCAAGGCCCCCCTAAGGCCCCCCTACCCCCCAATCCTCCTCACACCCCCTCCCAGCCCCCCAGCCCGCCCCCCCTATCCCTGGCATGGCATAGTTCCCCCCCTATCCCAGGCATGGCATGGTCCCCCCCCTATACCTGGCATGGCCCCATCAACATGCGAGAGGTGCTGCTACTTTTTTTTTGTCACTACCTTTATCTTCCTCCTCCTGGTCCTGGTCCTGGTCCTGGTCCTGGTCCTGGTCCTGGTCCTGGTCCTGGTCCTGGTCCTGGTCCTGGTCCTGGTCCTGGTCCTGGTCCTGGTCCTGGTCCTGGTCCTGGTCTCCAGGTCCTGTTCCAGGTCCTGTTCCTGTTGTCAGAAGGCGGCTGGAACAGTAACGAGACAGCAGGAACAGTAGCCGGGCGGCAGTAACAGTAACAAGGTGGCCGTAGCAGTAACTGGGCGGCTGGAACAGTCATCCCCGTCTCTGTGCTTCTGTTTCTCTATCTTGCAATCTGTCTCTTTTTGTTTCAGTAGTTTCTGTTCTCCCCTCTCACTGCTTCTGTTTCTGTTTCTGTGCTTCTGTTAACCCCTGTCACTCTTCTTCTGTTTCTGTTTGTCCTGCGTTTCTGCCTCTGTTTCTCAGTCGCTGATCACAGGTGTGGCCTTGTGTCTCTCTCTGTTTGTCTCTGTCTCTAGTTGTCTCCATGCTCCCCATCCCATCCCTGGGCCAAGCCCACACCGACCCGACCTGGCCACGACAGGGCCATCCCGGCTCATATAGTGAACAAGAACAAGCACACGCAGTTTTCAAACCCTTAACTGTACTAATTTAGAATCCTATTTCTTCATTATGTCTTCAAAAAAGGCGCCCCGCACGAGAGAATGCCACCTGCACAGGTGGGGTGCGGTGGGGTGGGGTGGGGAGGAGGGACGGATGGCGGGATGGCCGGTGCGAGGGGATGGCGTGTGGCGGGTTCTGAAATTGTGGCAGAGGTGGCAAGTGGTGGGGAGGAGAGGAGGTGAACAGAGGGGAGGAGAGGAGGTGAACAGAGGGGAGGAGAGGAGGTGAACAGAGGGGAGGAGAGGAGGTGAACAGAGGGGAGGAGAGGAGGTGAACAGAGGGGAGGAGAGGAGGTGAACAGAGGGGAGGAGAGGAGGTGAACAGAGGGGAGGAGAGGAGGTGAACAGAGGGGAGGAGAGGAGGTGAACAGAGGGGAGGAGAGGAGGTGAACAGAGGGGAGGAGAGGAGGTGAACAGAGGGGAGGAGAGGAGGTGAACAGAGGGGAGGAGAGGAGGTGAACAGAGGGGAGGAGAGGAGGTGAACAGAGGAACAGAGAGGCGGTGAACAGAGGGGAGGATAGGAGGTGAACAGAGGGGAGGAGAGGAGGTGAACAGAGGGGAGGATAGGAGGTGAACAGAGGGGAGGAGAGGAGTTGAACAGACCACGGGAGGAGAGGAGGTGAAGAGAGGGGAGGAGAGGAGGTGAAGAGAGGGGAGGAGAGGAGTTGAACAGAGGGGAGGAGAGGAGGTGAACAGAGGGGAGGAGAGGTTTTAGCATAGGGGTTGGCGGGATGGCAAGTGTGGTGTGAGTGAGGGACTGGCGGGATGGCACGCATGTGTTGTGAGGAGTGCAGAGCAAGGGAGGGAACGACGAGTGCAGAGCAAGGAGGGAACGACGAGTGCAGAGCAAGGGAGGGAACGACGAGTGCAGAGCAAGGGAGGGAACGACGAGTGCAGAGCAAGGGAGGGAACGACGAGTGCAGAGCAAGGGAGGGAACGACGAGTGCAGAGCAAGGGAGGGAACGACGAGTGCAGAGCAAGGGAGGGAACGACGAGTGCAGAGCAAGGGAGGGAACGACGAGTGCAGAGCAAGGGAGGGAACGACGAGTGCAGAGCAAGGGAGGGAACGACGAGTGCAGAGCAAGGGAGGGAACGACGAGTGCAGAGCAAGGGAGGGAACGACGAGTGCAGAGCAAGGGAGGGAACGACGAGTGCAGAGCAAGGGAGGGAACGACGAGTGCAGAGCAAGGGAGGGAACGACGAGTGCAGAGCAAGGGAGGGAACGACGAGTGCAGAGCAAGGGAGGGAACGACGAGTGCAGAGCAAGGGAGGGAACGACGAGTGCAGAGCAAGGGAGGGAACGACGAGTGCAGAGCAAGGGAGGGAACGACGAGTGCAGAGCAAGGGAGGGAACGACGAGTGCAGAGCAAGGGAGGGAACGACGAGTGCAGAGCAAGGGAGGGAACGACGAGTGCAGAGGTGCGGGAAGGTGAATAGAGGGGAGCAGTGGGGGGAGGTGAATACAAGGGATAAGTGGGGGATGGTGCGCGTGGGGAGCGGAGGGTGAATAGTAAGGGATGGGGAAACCGTGGGGTGAACAGTGGGGGATGGGGAGGAAGGGCGGAATGAGGAGAAAGGGCGCAACGAGGAGAAAGGGCGGAATGAGGAGAAAGGGCGGAACGAGGAGAAAGGGCGGAATGAGGAGAAAGGGCGGAACGAGGAGAAAGGGCGGAACGAGGAGAAAGGGCGGAACGAGGAGAAAGGGCGGAACGAGGAGAAAGGGCGGAACGAGGAGAAAGGGCGGAACGAGGAGAAAGGGCGGAACGAGGAGAAAGGGCGGAACGAGGAGAAAGGGCGGAACGTGGAGAAAGGGCGGAACGAGGAGAAAGGGCGGAACGAGGAGAAAGGGCGGAACGTGGAGAAAGGACGGAACGAGGAGAAAGGGCGGAACGAGGAGAAAGGGCGGAACGAGGAGAAAGGGCGGGACGAGGAGAAAGGGCGGAACGAGGAGAAAGGGCGGAACGAGGAGAAAGGGCGGAACGAGGAGAAAGGGCGAAACGAGGAGAAAGGGCGGAACGAGGAGAAAGGGCGGAACGAGGAAGCAATTTTCTCACCCTTATCCAAGTTCCCTAGCATGACGGAGTGGAGGCGCGGGAAGGGGAGGGGATTAGGTTGACCGCGGCGGGAAACGGCAGCGCTCGGTTCTCTCCCGCCATCCGCGAGTACTGCTCCTGTACTGTACCCACTTTAGATCCGCTTCAGTCTGCTCCATCCGCGCTGTCTACTCCTGTACCTGCGGGGGCAAATGAATAAGCAGATTCACATGAATACGCACACGTGGAACGAGTACACTTGTGTATGTACATTCACACGACCACGCACGCATGCTACCCTTTGGCAGCTGCAGCAGCTCATCTTTCAGTCGTCTCACTCACTTGCCCAGCCACCTCTGCTTGAAAAAACTCTTACCTGCCCGCCCACCTCTTCTTCAAGCTCTCACCTGCGCGGCCACCCCTGCTTCAAACTCTCACCTGCCCGGCAATCTCTACCCCAAAATTCGGTGGGAAACCGCGGGAAGGAAAACCTTGGGAAACCAACCATGGGAAAGAGCGGGAAACGGCGGGAAAAGGCAGGAAAGGGCGGGATTCAGCGCGGAAAGGGCACTAAGCCGTGCCTGGGGCGCGGAAAAAAAACAACTTGCCAAGCCTGCAGCGCGGAAAGGGCACTTGGCCGTGCCTGGGGCGCGGAAAAAAAAAAAACAACTTGCCAAGCCTGCAGCGCGGAAAGGGCACTAAGCCGTGCCTGGGGCGCGGAAAAAAAAACAACTTGCCAAGCCTGCAGTGCGGAAAGGGCACTTCGCCGCGCCTGCAGCGCGGAAAAGGGCAAGTCGCCGCGCCTGCAGCGCGGAAAGGCACTTGGCCGCGCCTCTCACCAGGCAGTGCCGAGCCTCTCACCAGGCAGTGCCGAGCCTCTCACCAGGCAGTGCCGAGCCTCTCATGGCGCGCGATCCGCCGCCTGGTGATGCTCGCGTGCTGGTGGGAGAGGTAGGTGAGTGCGTTTCCTTCGTCATAGGAACATTTGCCGTCAGATCAGTGCACAACTCGTGTCGCGTCGCTGTCAGAGATAAAACAAAGAAAGAAGAACATATTTACAAAAATAATTGAACAATTTGACGCAAACCTGAATACAAAAGGAGGCAGTGAAGCAGGCGCCTGGTGAGAGTGTTGAGCGAGAAACGGCGAAAAAAGGCACGAGGCAGAAAATGGAGAGGAGAGGAAGGGCCGGGGAAGAGGGAAACTTTAGCTAGAAATATAATCTCACGTTAATATAACTATAAAACGCAACTAAAAAACAGGAGCTTCTGCTGGAACGCGGATTAACTCTCACAGGGGCCTAAGCTGCTGCGCCCACCATTCCGTCAGCTGCTTCCGCGGCGCGACATCGGCCATCTGCTGCCGCGGCGCGACATTCCGCCATCTGCTGCGCGCGCCAATTCGCCTGCTGCTGCGCGCGCCATTCCCCCTGCTGTGGCGCGCGCCATCCCCCCTGCTGCTGAACGATCTATGACTAGGAGAACAAATAAAAAGAAAACTAAGAGAATGCTACTAAGAGCATTAAGAGAATGCTACTACTAGTGAGACCATCCAGTGAGAGGGACGCTGGGAGAAGAAGAGCAGTCGAGAGAAAGAGGAGTCAAGGAGGAGGTAACAATGGGAGAGTTGAAGGACTCGCGTGCTGGTGGGAGAGGTAGGTGAGTGCTTTTCCTTCACCAGATCAGCACCACTCGTGTCGCGTCGCTGTCAAAGAGAAAACAAATAAAAAAGAACATCAGCACCACTCGTGTCGCGACCGTTCGACGGTGAGGTCCGACCGAGCCACCTCGCGCGCACGCGCGTTCGCTCTGCGCAGCGACCCGTGTGACATGACATAGCATGCTGCAAACTAAACTGACATCAAACGCGATATTCGCAAATGAGAAAAAGCGCGGGACGGCTAAAGGAGAGCGCTGCGCAGGGTGCAGCGCGAGGCGAGCAGGACGACGACTATCTAACGACCGCGAGGCGCACGAACAAACACGCGACTGGGACCTTAGCGAATGACACAGCAGCGGATTAGGTGGCTGTGACTGTATTTCTAGCTGAATAGTCGGTACGAGGGAAGAAGGTTCGAGTAGACCTGATTTGGTTTGGGCTGAGGCAGCAGCGGGATGGATAGACGGGTAGCTAGCCAACCCCTCCCACACAATGTTGTGTAACATTTCGGGCAGTAGAAATAAAAGTAGAAGCATCTCGTAACTAAAATGGAAAAATCAGACCACTCCTACTACTACAGTGAAGTCGTTTCGATTTTACTGTTGAATGGAAGGGTTCCAACTCGGACCTGAACACCCACCTCCTCAACCCAAAAAACAGCCCCCAATGGGGTTTCTAAGCCTGGTCCGCAACAGGTCGCGGTGGAACAGGTCAAGAAACTCAAAGACAGCCCCCAATGGGGTTTCAGAGCCTGCTCCAGCGCACAGGTCGCGGTGGAACAGGTCAAGAATGATACTATAACAGTGAGGTTCCAATTTACAGCGCGGTTCGGACGAATCTTGATTTGCAAAGTGTATATATTGCTGTTGCTAACCAACTAGCATCAACTATGATTGCGTTTCAAATGTGAATTGTTAAATAAACATGCGAGAAGATAAACACATGACACACATAATGGCATTACCGTACAAGTTGCGTAAGCATAAATCACAATCAAATATGTGTAATATTGGTACGTTATTTTTATTTCCTGCTTTCATGCCTAATTCATACTTCTCTTGATGTAATGCAAGCATGATTGCTAGTGCTCGTACTCTTAATGCCTGTAAACTATCTACTTCAACGTCAATGCGTTGGGGTGGCTTTGAGCGGTGCCGAGTGTTGCCGAGAGGTTTAGAGTGGTAGTGAGCGGTGCTGATACGTCCGATGCGGTCGTTGATGGTGCTGAACGCTCTTGGGTGGTGACGAGTGGTGATGAGTAGCTCAGAGAGGTGTCGGGTGGTGATGAGCGGCTCCGAGCGGTGCCGAGTGCTGCAGAGCGGTACAGAGCGGCAGTGAGCGGTGCTGGGTTGTTGTGTGCAGTGATTGGTGGTGTTGAGCACTTGTGAGTGGTGATGAGCGGTGAAGGACAGTGACGAGCCGCTCAAAGAGGTGCCGAGTGGTGATGAGCGGATCTGAGCAGTGCCGAGTTCTGCAGCGCGGTTCAGAACGGCAGTGAGAGGTGTTGGGCCTTTGTGTGCGGTCATTGGTGGTGGTGAGTGCCCGTGAGTGGTGATGAGTGGCTGAGAGAGGTGTCGAGTGGTGATGAGCGGCCCTGAGCGGTGCCGAGTGCTGCAGTGCGGTTCAGAGCAGCAGTGAGAGGTGTTGGGCCTTTGTGAGCAGTCATTAGTGATGCCGAGCGCCCGTGAGTGGTGACACCAACAGCAGCAGTAGGAAACACAAGCACAAGCAGCAAACGGTAGTTGTGAGCATCTGCATCACCATCGAGCGGCAACAGAATATGCTCAGCAGCAGTAGGGAACACCAGCATGAGCACAAGCAGCAAACGGTAGTAGTGAGCATCCGCTTCACCATCGAGCAGCAACAGAAAGTGCTCAGCAACAGTAGGAAACACCAGCACAAGCACAAAGCAGCGAATGGTAGTAGTGAGCATGCGCCTCACCATCGAGCAGCAACAAAAAATATTCGGCAGCAGTAGGAATGACCAGCACGAGCACAAGCAGCGAAAGGTAGTAGTGGGCATTGGCCTCACCATCGAGCAGCAACAGGAAAATATTCGGCAGCAGTAGGAAACACCAGCACGAGGACTAGCGCGAACGGTAGTATTGAGCATCCGTCTCACCATCGAGCAGCAACAGAAAATATTCGGCAGCAGTAGGAAACACCAGCATGAGGACTAGCGCGAACGGTACTATTGAGCATCCGTCTCACCATCGAGCAGCAACAGAAAATATTCGGCAGCAGTAGGAAACACCAGCACGTGCACAAGCAGCGAACGGTAGTAGTGAGCATCCGCCTCACCATCGAGCAGCAACAGAAAATATTTGACAGCAGTAGGAAACACCAGCACGGGCACAAGCAGGAACGGTAGTAGTGACCATCCGTCTCGCCATCGAGCAGCAACAGAAAGTATTCGGCAGCAGTAGGAAACACCAGTTAAGAACAGTTTCACCGTTCTCAACCGAGAGAACATATTAGGGTTAACCAACCAAGGCTGCAAGGAAACGCGCCCCGAACTGACCCAGCTTCACCACAACACTTCCGCCAAAGCACCCGCTCGCATCACCTTCATTGCGCCACCTAGTACCACCCCTCGCCAGCCCGTCGTAGTAGCAGTAGTAGCACCAGCAAATTCGTACTGTAGGGTGTATGTATTTCGCACCAGTCTTCTTTGCTACTCTGCAAAGCCGCTCGGTTTTTGGCTAAACAAGTTTTGTTTTGCCACTCTCATTGCCTTTTAAGAGAAATTACGCTCAAAAACTGCGTGACTTTTAGATATCTGTTTAATCCGTTCCCCTCGCGCTTACGTCAAGTCAACAAAGCAGATTCGCGAATCGGGACCTCACCCACCCACCCGCACACCAGCACGAGCACAAGCAACGAACGGTATTAGTGAGCATTCGCGTCACGATCGAGCAGCAACGGGAGGAGAAGGAGGACGACGAGGACCAGGACGAGGAGCAGGAGCAGGAGGAGGAGGAGAAGGAGGAGGAGGAGGAGGAGGAGGAGGAGGAGGAGGAGGAGGAGGAGGAGGAGGAGGAGGAGGAGGAGGAGGAGGAGGAGGAGGAGGGGGACGACGACGACGACGACGAGAAGGAAGACGACGACGATGAGGAGGAAGACGACGAAGAAAAGGAGGGCGAGGAGTAGGAGTAGGAGGAGGAAGACGAGAAAGAGAAGGAGGAGGAGCAGGAGGAAGACGAGGAGTAGGAGGACGACGACAAGGAGGTTCACAACGAGGAGGAGGAAGATGAGGAGGAAGAGAACGAGCAGGAGCATGAGGAGGCGGAGGAGGAGGAGGAGGAGGAGGAGGAGGAGGAGGAGGAGGAGGAGGAGGAGGAGGAGGAGGAGGAGGAGGAGGAGGAGGAGGACGAGGAGGACGAGGAGGAGGAGGAGGAGGAGGAGGAGGAGGAGGAGGAGGAGGAGGAGGAGGAGGAGGAGGAGGAGGAGGAGGAGGACGAGGAGGAGGAGGAGGAAAAGGAGGAGGAGGAGGAGGAGGAGGAGGAGGAGGAGGAGGAGGAGGAGGAGGAGGAGGAGGAGGATGAGGAGGAGGAGGAGGAGGAGGAGGAGGAGGAGGAGGAGGAGGAGGAGGAGGAGGAGGAGGAGGAGGAGGAGGAGGAGGAGGAAACACCAGCATGAGCACAAGCAGCAAACGGTAGTACTGAGCATCCGCCTCACAATCGAGCAGGAACATAAAATACTCAGCAGCAGTAGGAAACACCATCACGAGCACAAGCAGCGGACTGTAGTAGTGAGCATTTGCCTAACCATCGAGCAGCAACATCAAATATTCAGCGGTAGTAGGAAACACCAGCACGAGCACAAGCAGCGGACAGTAGTAGTGAGCATTTGCCTCACCATCGAGCAAAACCGGAAAATGTACAGCGGAAGTAGAAAACACCAGCACGAGCACAAGCAACGAACGGTAGTTGTCAGCATCCTCCTCACCATAGTGCAGCAACCAAAAATATTCTGCAGCGGTAGGAAACATTAGCACGAGCACAAGCAGCGAACGTAGTAGTGAGCATCCGCCTCACCATCGAGCACCAACATAAAATATTCAACAGCAGTAGGAAACTCCAGCACGAGCACAAGCAGCGAACGGTAGTTGTGAGCATCCGCCTCACCATCGAGCAGCAACAGAAAACATCCAGCAGCGGTAGGAAACACCAGCACGAGCACAAGCAACGAACGGTAGTTGTCAGCATCCGCCTCACCATCGAGCAGCGACGAAAATTATTCAGGAGCAGTAGGAAACACCAGCACGAGCACAAGCAGCGAACGGTAGTAGTGAGCATCCGCCTCACCATCAAGGAGCAACGGAAAATGTTCAACAACAGTAGGACACCAGCACGAGCACAAGCAACGAACGGTAGTAGTGAGCATTCGCCTCACGATTGAGCAGCAACGGGAGGAGAAGGAGGACGACGACGACGAGGACCAGGACGAGGAGCAGGAGCAGGAGGAGGTGGAGAAGGAGGAGGAGGAGGAGGAGGAGGAGGAGGAGGAGGAGGAGGAGGAGGAGGAGGAGGAGGAGGAGGAGGAGGAGGAGGAGGAGGAGGAGGAGGAGGAGGAGGATGACGACGACGACGACGACGAGAAGGAGGACGACGACGATGCGGAGGAAGACGACGGGGAGGAAGAGGGCGAGGAGTAGGAGTAGGAGGAGGAAGACGAGAAGGAGGACGAAGAGGAGCAGGAGGAACACGAGGAGTAGGAGGACGACGAGGAGGAGGTTGCCAACGAGGAGGAGGAAGACGAGGAGGAAGAGGACAAGGGGTAGGGCAACAACGAGGAGGAGGAGGACGTCGAGCAGGTGAACGGGGAGGAGGAGGACGACGACATGGACAAGGACGAGGAGCAGGAGGAGGAGCAGGAGTAGGAGGAGGATGAGGAGGAGGAGGAGGAGGAGGAGGAGGAGGAGGAGGAGGAGGAGGAGGAGGAGGTGGTGGAGAAGGAGGAGGAGGAGGAGGAGGAGGAGGAGCAGGAGGAGCAGGAGGAGGAGGAGGAGGAGGAGGAGGAGGAGGAGGAGGAGGAGGAGGAGGAGGAGGAGGAGGAGGAGGAGGAGGAGGAGAACGAGGAGGAGAATTTCAAGGAGGAGCAGGACGAGGAGGAGAAGGAAGGGGACGAGGAGGAGCAAGACGAGGAGGAAGAGGACGAGGAGAACGATGAGGAGTAGGAGGAGGATGAGGAGGACGAGGAGTGGGAGGACGACGAGACGGAGAACGATGAGGAGGAAGAGGACGAGGGGAGGGAGCTCGACGAGGATGATGAGCACGAGGAGGAAGAGGGGGAGGGGGGGCAGCAGGGGGAGGGGTGGGTGGTTCTGGAGGAGCAAAGCTGTCTGCTCTGCTTGCTGACCTGCCTGCCGTGACAGCGTGAGTTTGTGACTTGTGATGCAAGTCCCCCATCACTGAGGCATCTCAATAGCCCTCTCCCACAAAACAAAACCGTTTGAAATGCTAAGCCCTCGTTCCCTTCTCACCTCCTACCCTTCCTTCTTGCCTTGTACCCTTTCTTCTGCCCCTCCCTGTCTCTCTCCCATCCCCCTAGACCCATATACCTCGCTCATTGCACCAAGTCCCTCATTCCAACAGGTTCATCCTGCCTCTCCTACCTTTCCTTCCTCTCAATCTCTCCTTCCCTTCTGTCCCGTTCTTCCTCTTCCCACCCCTCTTTCTTCCCCTCAACAAATGGTATTTTTTAACTCCGCTGCTTCCCGCTTCCTCCCCCAAATCGTATTCCTCCTCCTCCGCTGCTTCCCGCTTCCTCCTCCTCCTCCTCCTCCTCCTCCTCCTCCTCCTCCTCCTCCTCCTCCTCCTCCTCCTCCTCCTCCTCCTCCTCCTCCTCCTCCTCCTGCTTATCTCCCCGCCAACCCGCTTTCTACAGACGACGGGGAGAACAAGCTTGTTCAGAACCAGAAACCCGTATCCTCTCCACTCATAGCCTCCTTCTCCCATACCCCCTACCCTCTCATCCTGTCACTGGCCCTCTCCTCCCCTTCCCTCCCCCCCTCTCCCCTCACTCCCTTACCCCCAGCCGTTGTGCCACCTAGCCTCGTTCTCCCATCCCCCCTACCCTCTCATCCTGTCACTGCCCCTCTCCTCCCCTTCCCTCCCGTCCCCTCCCTCACTCCCTCCCCGCGGCCTTTGTGCCACCTGTCGCCCTGCCTCTGCGGGTTCCTTCCCACAGCCTGGATTGCTGCGGGCGACGAGGAGAGGAGAACGAGTGTGAGCTCAATTAGAGAGCCTCTTCCCTCTTTACCCCTTTCATTGCTCTCCCTTCCGCGTTGTCTCCCCACCACCTCGCTCGCTGCATGCGACGAGGAGAAGGAGATTGGGCTAAATCAGAGAACCAATTCTATCGTTACCCCTTAAAAGGCTTCTTCCTCTTCCTTTCCTCCACTTTACATTTCCTGTCCCCTTTCCCCTCCCTCCTGCCCCACCCGTTGTCTCCCCATCCCCATCGCCTCGCTCGATGCATGCTATGAGGAGAGGAGAACGAGATTGGGCTCAACCCCGTTCCTTTCCACCCCTTGACTCGTTCTGCCTTCTTCCCCACCCTGTCACCTCCCCACACACCCGGCCCTCTTCCCACTCCCTTTTTCTCCTCCCCTGGTCTCCCCACCCTCGCTCGCAACAGACGATGAGGAGGACGAGTTCCCGTTCGTCCCCACCCTCAATCATAGCTTCGTTCTCCTTGGCACTCCTTGCCTTGTTCCCACCTCTCCTCCACAACCCTCTTCCTCCCATCACTTCCTCTCTTCTCCGAATCCCTTCTCTTCCTCCCCTCCAGGTGACGAGGAGAACGAGTTTGGGCTCAACCAGAGGGCGGGCGCTGCTGATGTGGCGCTGGCAATCATTGCGCAGGCGCATGCTTCCTGGCAGCTTCTCACCGAGGACAGCCCGCCGTGTCTCTCCCCCTGGAGCCCCATCAACCTCGTGCTCTCCGCGCGCGCGTTCTTCGCGGCTCATGGCGCAAATACACTGATCAGTACTAAAAAGAGGCGGGATGTACAGGAGCCGAGAAGGGTGGCAACGGCGGTGATGGTGGTGGCACTTGTTGCGAATCTCGATAGGTAGTTGCAGATATATTTAAAGGTGTTATGGCTTTCAGTAATTGAACTTTTGGAAACTTGGGGCTTCCTTGCATGGATTGCAAAATTTGATTGTCATGGTATTTTTGATTTTGTTAGCTACACATGAATGAACACTTGTTTTGTTAACATGTCAGTATCCTCTGCATCTACATTGGTTTCAATGGTCATTATCGAGGCCTAGCAATATACCGTAGTTGTATTCTCCTCCTCCTCGCACATGCTCAACTGTTTTTTTCCCACCGTGTCTGTGTAGTTTGACTTGTGTTTTGCTAAGTCCTGGCTCGCCTTGTCTTCGACTTCCCTTTCCTCGTCACACAGACTTAAGCACGTGTTTTCGTCTGCCACTCGGTTTTAACTTAGCCCTCACTTTTGATTCGGCGCGCTTACGACAGGTGCAGAACGATTCACCGTACACTTCGCGCAAGTGGTGTTTTGTGTTTGTCCGCGCTCGCTCGCTGCTGGGTGCGCACGCTGTACACTTTGCGAGCTTGACGCTTGCAGCCAACAATCAATTGGCTAACGCCGGGGGTAGGGCACTGTACAGTTGGGAAGAATAGCACGTGGCGATTTTTGTTCCTCAGCTTCTGTTTGTTATCTGATTCTCTTTCGGGATTCTGGTTGGCTGTTTGTTTTGTTGAGCTGTATTTATTTATTCGCCCTTGCTACTCTCATTCGTTTGTTCGCACCCGTTATTGCTGCTCAGTATAGACCGTCTGCTGTTTTGCTAACCTAGGTCGTTCGTCACCACCACCCTGCATGTTTTAACGAACTTAAGCACGAAAATTTGGCCCCTGCCCTCTCCACCCTCCTGCTTTTTCGTTCTCTGGGTAGAAGGCGAGCCTCAAGCTCAGCAGCAGTTGCGAAAACAAAACCAGTGGGCATGGGTTTATTTCACGACCTGAAGCACGACTTTGACCCAGCTGTTATTTTTGCGCTTGGGCTGGATTGGCAGCGTGATTGCTTACGACTGTTGGACAATGCAGGTGTGCGCTTTGCGATTCTTTTTTTCTCAATCTCCGAACTCTACAGTTTGTGTTCCCCACCCAATCCCGCTCATCCTGCTTGTTTCTGAGCTGTAAACGACGCTTAGGCAAGGAACTGTTTGAGCTTGAAGCTTGACTCTGCACAAACAGTTGAATGATTCTTTAAGGCGCAATACACCTTTTCGCTTTAAGCGTTTGTCGCGTCCTTCAGTTCAATTTGCGTTTGAAACATTCTGAACGTTCTGAACCGAGAGTTAAAATTAGGGTTTCACATCCAAGGCTGCAAGAGAAGGCGCCCAGGAATCGAACCCAGCTTCACGATAACCCTTCAACCAAATTTCCCAGCTCTCTCACATCATCTTCGGTGCGCCACCTAGTAGTAGTAGTACCACCCTCCACCCACCGCCCGTCCTTTGTAGTAGCACAGCAGCACCAGGTACTAGTAGTAGAACTAGGACTACTAGTTAGCTTTAGTAGAAGCCGTAGAAGCCGTTCGTATCGACCCCCAGGGTTTTCCCGTTTGTAGACTCATATACGCGCGCATGTGGTGTTTGTTTGTTTGTTTGTTTTTTTTTTTCTCTCCTGTCGATATGCATTTACTAGTACTCCTACTACATCGTCGCTTTGTGACAATGTTTTTACCCATGGTTCACTCCGGCGACGTGCAGGTCTCGTCGGAGGTTTTCGGAGCACAGGCGGCGAGCAGGCGGCGGCCAAGCGAGTGCGAGCCGCTTGTCTCGCTGACTCGCGACTACTACGAGTAGTTGTACACATGCAGGTCCTGGGACGGCCTTGGTCCATAGAGTGAGCATCGAATGCGAGAGAAGCGCGAAGGATGTGTCAATCTTGTGGCGTATGTATGACGAAATGCGGCGAATAACTGACGACAGGCGACCGTTACCGACCATGCTCGACCGCTCCTCATAAAACACGCTTCAGTTACAAACGCGTACGCAGCCATTGCATTCATGAAGCTGTCGCAGGTGCTGTCGCAAGCGCACGCGACAGCTGGTTACAATCGCAACAAGTTCCCCGTTTTCGCGCTGCTGTGCCAACTGCTTCACCCTCGTCACTCTCTATGGGTACGCGTTACTGGCCGGGACTCGTTACCGCTACACGCCCCTGTCCTCCATACCTCTCCACATCCTCCCGAGGCCTCGAGAGTCCTCATTTTCCCCAATTTCCTGTCCAACGCATCTCTCCCCCACCACCCGTGTTTCTCTTCTGAGTCGATTTCCTTTTTAATCTCCCACCTCACAGCCCCTGACTTGCTTCCGCCGATCACACTCAGCCTCCACTGAACCCCCCTGTTCCCTTTCCGCTCCCCCCAAGCCAAGTCCCCCCTCTCTCCCCTTCCCCCAACCAGCACCGTCCCCCGGTTTTCCGGGACTCTGGATATTGACGACGCCGCTGACGTGGATCTGCGCAGCAGCAGCGGCGGGGAAGGGCGGGGAGGGGGAAGCGCTGGAGACGTTAAGCTGGCTGGTGCCAGCATTCCTCGCCGCATCGTATTTTGAGGCGTATTTTGAGGCGCCTCAAAATGCATCCCCATCCCCATCCCCATCCCCATCCCCATCCCACCGTCCCCTATCCCTATCAAGGGCACTGGAGTCGTTAAGCTGGCTGGTGCCAGCATTCCTCGCCGCATCATATTTTGAGGCGTATTTTGAGGCGCCTCAAAATGCATCCCCATCCCCATCCCCATCCCACCGTCCCTATCCCTATCAAGGGCACTGGAGACGTTAAGCTGGCTGGTGCCAGCATTCCTCGCCGCATCGCTGCTCACTGCCTTCCTCCTGCTGCTACTCATCGTTAGCCTCTCTGCCTCCGCCAAGGCAAATCTGCAGGCCAACAGCGTCAACAACGTCTTCTTCTGTGCCTTCCATGTCAGTCAGCTGCCCTTCTTGCCAGTCAGCTGCCCTTCTTGCCAGTCAGCTGCCCTTCTTGCCAGTCAGCTGCCCTTCTTGCCAGTCAGCTGCCCTTCTTGCCAGTCAGCTGCCCTTCTTGCCAGTCAGCTGCCCTTCTTGCCAGTCAGCTGCCCTTCTTGCCAGTCAGGCGCCTTCCATCCCAGTCATTCACCTTCCATCCCAGGCAGCCGATTTCCATGTCACTCACTCAACTTTCATGTCATCCCCCCTCCATCTACCCTCACTTGTCCCTCCCTCGGCCCCCATGCTTCCTCCCTCCCCCCCACACAGGCGATTTCAACGTTTTCCAACACAGGGGCAGAACTGCTGAACGATAACCTAATTTTGGGCGCCTCAAAAATAGACCCCTCGGCCCCCATGCTTCCCTCCTCCTTCCCGCACAGGCTATGTCGACGTTTTCCAACACAGGGGCGGCACTGCTGAACGATAATCCTAATGGGGTTCGTGAGGGCGCCAGCTCTGATCATCGTCACGTCGGTCTTCATTCTCATTGGCAATACCATCATGTACCCGCCCACGCTGCGAGCCCTCCTGCTTCTGCTCCGGCACTTCTCACGAGGAGAGAAAAGGGTAAGGTCTGCACCGCACTGCACCCTCTTGAATTTGATCACTCTAAGAGGGAACTTCTGCACCGCACCACTACCGGTCTCGTAGATGGCTAATGACTGCACCCTTACCCGTCTTTCCCTTCACATGGTTGCCGTTTTCGCACTAGGTCCCCCACCGCTCTCCAGTCACCTCTCTTCTTGTTCCTGGCTCCCTCCCTCCCTGTGTTGCACTGCACGCACACTTGGCAATCCTTTTTTCTACTGTACCATCCTGCAGGTTGTTTTCGAGGCTGCACATCAATTCTAAAAAACAACCTCCTTTTTTCTTCTTCTACTGTACCATCCTGCAGTGTGATCCCTCAGAACATCTACTCACACTCTCCTGCATTTGCACACACACTGCGTGCACCCCTGTTGAGGTCATGTGAAAACAGTCTCTTACACCGCAGGGTTCCTATTTTGAAAAATCTATCTGCTACCCCCACACCTACATTGTTGACCCCTTCAGTTTGTCCACACCTACCTACCGCATCTCATCTTACAGGCGCACAAATGCCATTAGCACCTCTTCTGAGGTGACTCAAAAGCAGACTCATTGCAGTCGGCGTTTCTTACATCGAGAAGCGTCTGCAACCCTCTCTCACCCTTTGCCCTGGCCGGCAGTTTGTCTACTCGTACCTTCTTTTGCGCCCGCGCAAGTGCTACACGCACCTCTCTTGAGGTGCTTCAAAAGCAGACTCATAAAACTGGGTTCTTCTTATACTGACAAGTGATTTTCGCCCCCCTCACCCCGTGCCCCTCAGTTCGTCTACTCCTACCTTCTCGTGCACCCACGCAAGTGCTACACGCACCTCTTCCCACCGCGCTCCACCGTGATGCTCGTGCTAACAGTGCTCGCGTTCAATCTCACGGAGTTTGTCTTCTTCTGTGCCACTGACTGGACCTCGCCTGCCATTGACGGCTTCACCAGTGAGTTGCATGTGGACTGCGGGTATGCGAAAAAGACCAACAAACAAGGATTACGTATATATTCCCAGAGGATTTGTCTTCCTGAGGGAACTTTTGCGTCGACTCAAAAGTCACCTAAAGACCAACAAACAAGGATTACGTACGTATTTCCTGAGGATGTGTCTAGGAAGAGAGCAATTCTTCCTTTTGGTGGGGGCTTTGTCTGCCCAAAAAAAAAAACAAAAAACAAAACAAAACCCCACACACAATGTTACTCCACATTCCCCCCACCTCATGGTTGTGTGTGAGTGCATGCCAGGTGGATATTGGCTGGATATTTCCAATCTGTGAGCACACGCAATGCTTTTTGAGGCACCTCAAACACAGTTTCTCCACTCTTCTCCCTCTCTACCCTTTGTGTTTGTGTGTGTGCGCATGGCAGGCGGGACCAAGGTACTGGCAGGATATTTCCAATCTGTGAGCACACGCAACGCGGGATTCAACGTAATTGCCATCGGCCTCCTGCGCCCCCCCATGCTGCTGCTATACCTGGGCATGATGTGAGTGCATGGTGTGAGAGTGCAAGGGGCATGGTGTGAGAGTGCAAGGGGCATGTTGTGAGAGTGCAAGGGGCATGGTGTGAGAGTGCAAGGGGCATGGTGTGAGAGTGCAAGGGGCATGGTGTGAGAGTGCAAGGGGCATGGTGTGAGAGTGCAAGGGGCATGGTGTGAGAGTGCAAGGGGCATGGTGTGAGAGTGCATGGGACATCACCCTCCCTTACATATCCCAGCCTCCCTTCCAAACTCTGCTCAGGTGTGTGGCCATGAATCCTTTGCACAAAAAAATATCATTACCAACTCTGGCTTCACATGGAGTTTCTGAAAATTCTAAAAAACACCCAGCCCCCATTCCATTCCATTTCATTCCATTCCAATCCAATCTCACAACCGCCCTCCTTTCCATCCCCACAACCACCCACCCTTCCATTCCATTCCCTGCTGCTCTCTCGAACGTGAGCAGGTACGTGGCTGTGTATCCTCTGTACCTGACGAGGCAGACATCGAGGGAGCAGAGGGAGGTGTATGATGACGAGGATATTGGGGTGTTCTGGGAAGACCTTCAGGCAAGTTCTGTTCCAAGTCCCTGCGAATGAGTGAGAACTTGTGGGATGGGGAGGGGTGTGGGGGATGGGGAGGGGTGTGGGGGATGGGGAGGGGTGTAGGGGACGAGGCAGACGTCAAGGGAGCAGAGGGAGGTGTAAGACGATGAGGACATTGGGGTGTTCTGGGAAGACCTGCAGGCAAGTTCTTGAGTGGCTTTTGAGTTGACCCAAAAGTCAAGGGAGCAGAGAGAGGTGTATGACGACGAGGACATTGGGGTGTTCTGGCAAGATCTGCAGGTGAGTTCACATTACATCCCTCTGATGCAACAGCAGTCAGATCCTTCGCCCGGGAAACTGCCACTGCTAAAAAATAAAAAATTGGCGCTTAAGACGTCGAGGGAGCAAAGGGAGGTGTACGATGACGAGGACATTGGGATGTTCTGGGAAGACCTGCATTCAAGTTCTTGAGTGGCTTTTGAGTCGAGATGGTCATTAAAGTCTGTTGTGTGTGTGTGTGTGTGTGTGTGTGTGTGTGTGTGTGTGTGTGTGTGTGTGTGTGTGTGTGTGTATGTGTGTGTGTGTGTATGTATGTGTGTGTGTGTGTGTCAGTGTCAGTGTCTGTGTCTGCGTGTGTGTGTGTGTGTGTGTGTTTTCACTCTTGAGAAACAACTGGGCTTTTCCATCCTTCACCGCCCACCATCCATGCCACTCTCATCCCTCCTCGCTTGTCATTTCGTAACATGGCACATCACACGGCGTGACGCAAGTCATTCAGGGGGGTGTGCTGCTGGATCAGAAGTTATGTAAACAGATAGTGATTCAGCTGGCCTTATACATCACCTGCCCATGTGCCTTCCCTCGACAATCCATGCAGGGGGGGGTGTTGGACCACGGGGTGTTCACCCAGGGCAGAGGGCTGCTCCTGCGCGATTCAGCGATGCTCTTCATGGCTCTGCTGGTGATCTGCCTCATAGAGAGCGCCAACATCACCAACGACATCTCCAACTTCAACATCTTTAACATCGCCTTTGAGCTCATCAGGTGAGTGAGTGCGCCCAGTCCCCACATGCTTGTTCAAACCTTCATCAAGGGACAGCTTAGGCCCTCGATCGCTCTTAATGGCTCTGCTGGTGATCTGCCTTATAGAGAGCGACAACATCACCAACGACATCTCCAACTTCAACATCTTTGAGCAGGTGTGTGTGTGTGTGTGTGTGCGCGCGCGCGCGCGCGCGCGCGTGTGCGTGTGCGTGTGCGTGTGCGTGTGTGTGTGCGTGCGTGCGTGCGTGCGTGCGTGCGTGGGTGTGTGTGTGTTATTTTTTTGTCGGTGCCTCAAAACCCGTCTTCTCAGGTGCTTCGCTTGAGAGGCGTCTCCATAGTGGATTTGGCAAATTTAACCTCTTCTAATTTTGACATGCCTTAGTAATGTGCTTCGCCTGGCCACAGCTGCTTTCTGGTGACTCTGTCTGAACATCTCTCAACATACCCATCCTTGCACGTGTTCTTTCCTGGCAGTGGATACGGCAATGTGGGTCTCTCCCTGGGCTACACCTGTCCACCTGAAGCTGGCCCCAGCTGTGTCTCCCCTCCTTACAGCTTCTCTGGTGCGTCCTATCATATAAATTCCCCAAGTGCCTTCTCGGGTGCGTCATATCGTAGAATTTCCCAAAGTGCCTTCTCTGGAATTCCTGGTCCAAGGTGGTTCGTAATTTAGAATTCTCAAAAACACCCCGCAGGCGCGGGGGAAATTCCTGGAACTAGAAGGTCCAGGCGATATTTTCAATAGGCTCCTGAAAACCATATTATGCCTCTCTCTCTTCTTCCCTCGAATCCCTCTGATTTCTACCCACAGGCGTGTGGGGCCCTTGGTCGAAGCTGGTGCTCGTGCTCATGATGCGGCTCGGAGTTTTTCTCTTAGATGACTCGGAACAAAGTCATGTTTCTCTCTCCTTTCCACGTACCCCTTTTGCTCCCCACAGGCGTGTGGAGCCCTTGGTCCAAGCTGGTGCTCGTGCTCGTGATGCTGCTGGGTGTTTTTTCTTCTGGTTGCACGTCAGTAATAGGTCATGTTTCCCTCTCTCCTTTCCCCGTACCCATTTTCTCCCCACCTTGCAGGTGTGTGGAGCCCTTGGTCCAAGCTGGTTCTCGTGCTGGTAATGCTGCTGGGCCGCCACAGAGGCCTGCCTGACAACATCGACGCTGCCATCTCCCTCCCCAACCGCAACCAGTTCATTCCTGAACCACCTGCACTGCCTGCCCCACCTTCTGCATCTGCTGTATCTGCCGTCCCTGTTGTCGCACCTTGCATGCGTTCCACGTGTGCACCAAGGTGACTGAAGAGTCGACTCACGAGTCGCTGCCATCCCCATCCCAGGCCTGCACCAGTTCCTCCCTCCCCCGGCCGTACCACCCTCGGCCGCACGTCCCCCTCCCACCCAGGTTGCTCCTCCCTGCCGCTCCTCCCCTAGTCGCCCCTCCCCTAGTCGCCCCTCCCCTAGTCGCCCCTCCCCTAGTCGCCCCTCCCCTAGTCGCCCCTCCCCTAGTCGCCCCCTCCCCTAGTCGCCCCTCCCCTAGTCGCCCCTCCCCTAGTCGCCCCTCCCCTAGTCGCCCCTCCCCTAGTCGCCCCTCCCCTAGTCGCCCCTCCCCTAGTCGCCCCTCCCCTAGTCGCCCCTCCCCTAGTCGCCCCTCCCCTAGTCGCCCCTCCCCTAGTCGCCCTCCCCTAGTCGCCCCTCCCCTAGTCGCCCCTCCCCTAGTCACTCCTCCCCTAGTCACTCCTCCCCTAGTCGCCCCTCCCCCGGCCGCTCCCCTCCCCCACCGCTACTCACCTCAGCCTCCCCCCCCTTCCCTCCCCCTCCTCCCCCGCTCCACCAACCACTCCACCTTCCACATCTGCTGCATCTGCTCTGCGACCACGTGCTACCAACCAACGAAACGGTGTCTTGCTTCTGGAGGTGGAGAACGGACATAGAAAGTTCCTGCTTTGTTGCTCCAATCGCTTCACTCAGACTTGGGTTTCTCCGACTGTCATGCTCCGAGGCGCTGCTTCTTTATCTTCGGTTTCCAATTTCCAATCTACATAATCGAACTAGCTGAGTGCTGATTACTTTGGTTAGTCGCTGCTAGTAATCCAAATGCAAATACAGTATCAACACGTCTCACATATGATCATACAATGCATGCAGAAAGAACCTCTAGTCCATCCGAGGGTGTGAACCGCTGTGCTTTGAGCTGACTCAAAATGTATCCATTGGTCATGTAGCACATGCGCCACCTCTAGTTTCCCAGTCAATGGTTTATCATCGCGGCGCCACCCACTCGCCCTCACCACCTCACACAGCCCGTCAAACCTCTCCCCCCCCCCCCCCCCCCCCCTCTCCGCCCCTCCTTGCCATGCGCTCATGAGGCATGCGCCCTCCCATCCCTCCCTCACTTCCTCTTATTCACTGATTCCAGCAGCAGTCGCCAGTCTCCCGGCCGCGCCAGCAAGCCATCGTCACAGCGCCACCCGTTCGCTCTCAGCGCCTCACACAACCCATCAAACCCTCCCGCCATGCGGCCAAAGGAAGCATGCAGCATCTCTAGCTTCTCGAAAGAGGCTAACTCGGCTGCAGTTGCACTTGCACCCCTCATTTCCTCTTCTCCTCAGGTGCCAGCTGCAGCCACCAATCGCCCACCGGCCGGGCCACCATACGAAGAATGCAATACCTCTATCTGATTTCCCCAAGAATGCAAAGGCTGCTGCACTTGCACCCCTCACTTCCTCTTCTCCTCAGGTGCCAGCAGCAGCCACCAATCGCCTCCCTCATTTCGAAGTATTATAGCTTGGAAGATGGTTGACTGAGGCAGTTCAGAGGCGAGAGGTTTGTCCTCTTGTGGATTTTCAGCTTTTTCGTCCAATAGAATTCAAGTTAATCACATGCCATTTTTGTCCCCCTAATGTTCCTAAGAAGTTGCACCCTGCCTTTAAAGGCACAAGTGAGGGATTTTTGGGAGCTGGGGGTGCAATTTTCAGGTGGGGCAGTGCAAGTGAATCCAGCAGAGGCGAATTCGGCTTCACTTGCACCCCTCATTTCCTCTTCTCCTCAGGTGCCAGCAGCAGTCGCCAGTCTCCTGGCCGAGCCAACAAGCCATCGTCACAGCGCCACCCATTCGCTCTCAGCGCCTCACACAACCCATCAAACCCCGCAGCCATGCGGTCATACGAAGCATGCAGCACCTCTAGCTTCCCCAAGGAAGCGAATTCGGCTGCGCGGGCTTGGACGTGGGTGCGCGCTTGGGGTGCGAGAGAGTGGATGGTGGGGCAGAGGACGTGTGGAGAGAGGGTGCGGAGGTAGGCGGCTTGCAGGGCCGCTCTGAGGAAATCCCTTGGGAGTGCCCCCTCCTTCAACACTACCTGCATGGATGGTGGTTGCAGGGGTGAGAAGGCATGGGGATGAGAGGAGAAGGAATAGATGTGAGGGGAAGAGGAGAGCATGCAGCACCTTGATCTGCTTCCCCAAGGAGGAAAACTCGGCGGCGCGGGCTTGGACGTGGGTGCGCGCTTGGGGGGCGAGGGAATGAATGGTGGGGCAGAGGACGTGTGGAGATAGAGTGCGGAGGTAGGCGGCTTGCAGGGCCGCTCTGAGGAAGTCCCGAGGGAGTGCTCCTTCCTTCAACACTACCTGTATGGATGGTGGGTAGAAAGAGTGGATGGTGGGGCAGAGGACGTGTGGAGAGAGCGTGCGGAGGTAGGCGGCTTGTAGGGCCGCTCAGAGGAAGTCCTTTGGGAGGGCCCCCTCCTTCAACACTACGTGCAAGAAGAATGGTGAGTGGTTGATAGGGGTGAGAAGGCAAGAGGTGTGGAGAGAGAGTGCGGAGGTAGGCGCCTTGCAGGGCCGCTCGTAAGAAATCCCAAGGAAGAGCTCCTTCTTTCAACACAACCTGCATGGTGAGTGCGTGGGGTGAGGAGGAATGGCGGTGTAACGAGGAGATCATTTAGTGGCAGGTGGATTGGAGGGCAGCCCGGAGGAAATTCCGAGGGAAAGCTCCTTCTTTCAACACAACCTGCATGGTGAGTGCGTGGGGTGAGGAGGCATGGCGGTGTAACGAGGAGATCATTTAGTGGCAGGTGGATTGGAGGGCAGCCCGGAGGAAATCCCAAGGGAAAGCTCCTTCTTTCAACACAACCTGCATGGTGAGTGCGTGGGGTGAGGAGGCATGGCGATGGAACGAGGAGATCAATCTAGCGGCAGGCAGGTGGATTGGAGGGCAGCCCGGAGGAAGTCCCGAGGGAGAGCTCCTTCTTTCAACAGAACCTGGATGGTGGGTGACAGATAGGGGTGGGTGGGAAAGCAAGAGGTGAGAATCTAGATGCAGACAGCTTGCAGTGGGCAGAAAGAGTGGATGGTGGGGCAGAGGGGGTGTGGGGCGAGCGTGCAGAGGTAGGCGGCTTGTAAGGCCGTTGTCACTCATGGTTGGAAGGGCAGCAGCACTAAGAGAAAGTGAGGCGCCTCAAAAAAAGTGGGGCAAGCGTGCAGAGGTAGGCGGCTTGTAAGGCCGCTCGGAGGAAGTCCCGAGGTAGAGCCTCCTCTTTCAACACAGCCTGGTGAGTGACAGGGGTGAGAATGCATGGAGGTAAGAGGAGAAGGAATGGATGTGAGAGGAAGAGGAGAGGTAGTCTGCTTGGAGCGCCGCACAGAGGAAGTCCCGAAGTAGATCCCTCTTCTAGCTCAACTTGCATGGTGCTCTTTCAAGAGAGGGATCTCTTTCGAGACTTCCTCCGTGCGGCGGCGTGACACCCCTAACACAACCTGCATGGTGAGTGTCAGGGGTGGAAGGGACGGGATTGAGACGAGGAGGCACACATGCGGAGGTGGCCGGATTTGTAAGGCCGCCCGGAGGAGGTCCCTAGACAGATCCCTCTTTCAACACAACCTGCAGGCCCCCACACATTCCCGTTTCTCCCACCCACCCACGCACACAGATGCACACAGCATGAACCTGCATCTGCCCTGTACGCTCGTCCTGTCAAAGGAGGTACTTCTCTCCTCGGCATATCCCATCCCAGCCACCGCCTCTGCCTCCTCCCACTGCACATCACAGCACAGCACACCTGGGTGCCTCACTCCCATCTCAAAACACAAGCATGCGCAGCAGCACACGCACCTGCATCTGCCCCGTACGCTCGTCCCTCCCAAGCAGGTACTTCTCTCCTCGGAATATATCAGCCATGGTCTCAGCCTCCCGCTCTGTGTGCGCCACTGCGGCCAAGGGCACCCCAAATTCGATCCAGTTCTCACTCCCTGTGCCGGGAAGGGGTGGAGGAGACGCCTGGGAAAGGGGACGCGGAGAAGGGGCGGGGGAGGGGAACGGGTGGAGAGGGGGGAATGAGGGGGTTGAGAGGTCTCTTTTTGCGCCACTGCTGCCAAGGGCACTCCGAACTCGATCCAGTTCTCACTGCCTGTGCCTGGACGAGGAGGGGGAGAGGCCTGGAAAGGGGAGGAGGGGAGGGGGTTCGGGTGGAATGGGAGTAAGGGAGTGTTGAGACGTCTGTCTGTGTGAGCCACTGCTGCCTACTTGCCAAGGGCACTCCGAACTCAATCCAGTTCTCGCTACCTGTGCCGGGGAGAGGTGGAGGGGACGCCTGTGAAGAGAGAAAGGGGAGAAGGAGGGATGAGATCTCTCTGTGTGAGTGAGGCACTGCAGCTAAGTGGCACTTGTAACGCACATGCAATGCACATGCACCATACATACATGCACCACACATACATCACACATGCACCACACCAGAGATACCTTGGGCGAAAATATCGATTTGAGGGGCGGCAGAATGGGTTCCTGGGAGTTGACTTCGATGACACCTGGCACCCTGCCATTGGTCACGTACTCTGCCAGGACAATATCTGGGGAAAGAACAGTGGTAGAAGAGAGCACAGGGGAAGCAGAGAGGACAGCGCAGCGGAGCAAGCTACTTAGACAGAAACAGGTGAAGGAGGGAACTAATTGAGTTGTGCTTACAGCGACCGTCGTGCCTTACAGCTCAAAGACACGACGGTCGCTGCTCTGGCGAATGTTTTTGGGGCGCCTCAAACTTTTTGAGATGATTTTTTAGGCGCCTAAAAAACAATTGTGGTTACAGCTCAAAGACATGACATGACAATAGCTGCTCTGGAAGTAACTATCTGCTTCTGAATCCACTGGATTGAATGCTTGTGAGGCTTCCTGCAAGCAAGTACTTATTTTACCTGCTCTGAAGGGGTTGAGCGTCCTGAGTTGAACGGCCTTGTACGAGCGGTAGTTGCAAAACAGGTGGGCGGCGGACAGCAGGCCATGAGTTGCCCACAGTAGAGGGCCCCGGGTGCCCACGTGAGGAGCAACGACGATGCCTAGTGCCATCCCCAATGTCTTGCTCACCATGCCCTGTGCCTCTGCGCGTGCTAGCACCTGAGGGGAGAGGAAGAGGAGGAACAGTCAGAGAAAACACACAAATGGTTGGGTTCGGACAGCAGGGCGTGTGTTGCCCAGAGTAGAGGACCCCTCGTGCCCACGTGAGGAGCAATGGCGATACCCAGGGCCATGCCCAATGTCTTGCTCACCATGCCCTGTGCCTCTGCACGTGCTAGCACCTGTGGGGAGAGGAAGGGGAGGAGCAGAAAGTGAAGTACAATCACATGGGTGGGCCGGACAGCAGGGCATGCGTGGATCAGCCACAGCAGATGACCCCTGGTGCCTACGTGAGGAGCAATGGCGATGCCTAGAGCCATCCCCAATGTCTTGCTCACCATGCCTTGTGCCTCTGCCCGCGCCAAGACCTGGGGGGAGATGAAAAGGAGGAACAGTCAGAGAAAGCACACGAAAGGTTCGGTTCGGACAGCACGGCATGCGTCGCACACAGCAGAGGGCCCCGGGTGCCCACGTGTGGAGCGATGGCGATACCCAGGGCCATCCCCAATGTCTTGCTCACCATGCCCTGTGCCTCTGCACGTGCTAGCACCTGTGGGAGAGGAAGGCAGGGTGGAGTGGAAGGGAGAACACGGGGAGCGTAATGAGAGGAGCACAGCACCGGGCCTATTGTGCCCATGTGTGGGGCGATGGCGAGGCCTCATGCCATTCCAATTATCTTGCCCTGTCTTTGAGGCGCCTCAAAAGTAATGACGCCTACTGCCATCTCCAATGTCTTGCTCGATGCTCACCATGCCCTGTGCGGCTGTGCTTCTGCGCACACACACCAACACTCGGGGTGGTTGGGTTGGGGAAGAAGAAGGGGGATGAAAGGCTGACGAGTTAAGACATGTGACTCGTGAACCTGAAAACCATAAGAGCCGCTTACTTCCATTCCCAGCACACGCCTATAAAAGCACCGATATAAATGTTAGGCCTTTTTTGAAGGCTTTCTGCAATTTGAACCCATACAACCCCAGCCAGGATTATAGAAGGTAAGGAAGTCCAAGGAGGGAGCATATCCCCCCTCCTGGCCCCATTGGCTCCCGAGACAGCGTTGAATCTCACCTCGGCAAAGTTTCTTCTGCCTGCCAGCCCGGCGTAAAACCGGTTTCTCGTGGCACTCTGCACGAGGCTCGAGGCAGAGAACCCCGCCCCGGCAGCGGCGGCCAGCTGAACGAAGTACTGCGGGAAGGTGGCCGTGAGGAGCTCGAGGGAAGCGGAGAGATTCTCAACGAGGTCGGAGTGAGGGAATGTCCCTTCACAGGCCCTCTCACCTGCCCACATCGGCAATCTCACTTGCTCGCATCGGCCCTCTCACCTGCCCGACCTAAGGTGCTGCCTTACCTCGGCGAAATTTCTTCTGCCTGCCAGCCCGGCGTAAAACCGGTTTCTCGTGGCACTCTGCACGAGGCTGGAAGCAGAGAACCCTGCCCCGGCTGCAGCGGCCAGCTGGACGAAGTACTGCGGGAAGGTGGCTGTGAGGAGCTCGAGGGAGGCGGAGAGGTTCTCAACGAGGTCGGAGAGCAGGCGCGAGCGCTTGGGGGAGACGTCGAAATGGCGGCCGAACTGGGAGAGCGTGACTTTTGCAGCGTAGCCCAGCCCGTCTTTTAGGACCCAGTTGACCGCGGCTGCTGCTGGGATGGCGCCCTTGCCCAGCCCCACTGCGTACAGCATTGCCTGGAGAGGCGAGGAGGGAAGAGAAAGTGGGAAGAGAGGGAGGAGAGACGAATGGTTCCAGGTTGAACTGGGAGAGCGTGACTTTGGATTCTTTCAGCACCCAGTTGACCGCGGCTGCTGCTGGGATGGCGCCTTTTCCCAGCCCCACCGCGTACAGCATTGCCTGCAGGAGGGAGAGAGGGAAGAGAGGGAGGGAAGCGAGAGAGGGAAGAGAGAAAGGGAGGGAGAGAGGGAAGAGAGGGAGGGAAGCGAGAGAGGGAAGAGAGAAAGGAAGGGAGAGAGGGAAGAGAGGGAGGGAAGCGAGAGAGGGAAGAGAGAAAGAGAGAGAGAGAGAGAGGGAAGAGAGGGAGAGAGGGAAGAGAGGGAGGGAAGCGAGAGAGGGAAGAGAGAAAGGGAGGGAGAGAGGGAAGAGAGGGAGGGAAGCGAGAGAGGGAAGAGAGAGGGAAGAGAGGGAGGGAAGCGAGAGAGGGAAGAGAGAAAGGGAGGGAGAGAGGGAAGAGAGGGAGGGAAGCGAGAGAGGGAAGAGAGAAAGGGAGGGAGGGAGAGAGGGAAGAGAGGGGGGAAAGAGAGGGAGAGAGTGTGGTTGTGTGACGTGACTGTGACTGATCCCGTGTCCTACCAGGATAAAGAATGCAGTCGGGCTCCAGGGTGGGCGGCAAGGGCGGCAGCAGCTAGGAAGGAGGAGAAATACGCGCGACGGAACGCGTGGGTGGGCTTCCACGCCCTTGCAGTCGAGACATACGGCTGTCCTTCCCCGGGGGTGATGGCTTACCTGCGGCAGTGCGCGGAGCTAGCGGCCAAGCTGCGATACAACTCAGCACCTACCTCATACGAGGCAGCCAAGCTGCTGTCGGAGTACCGCCAGCACTGGAGTGTCTGCCTCCAGGGAGCGCAGGCCAATGCCCTCCGCTCCAAGACCAACGAGGCCTTGGCAGCGGACGAGCTCGGCATGCAGGGCCCCATCGTCCCTCTTAGCGAGGGACAGCTGCACCAGCTGATTGAGCCCCCATTCGGCCAGTAGGGTCGGACAGAGGGGGCCGGGAGTGGGAAGGAGTAGGTGTGATAGGTAGAATTGTGGTCTGGTTGTTTGTCTTACTTGTGTTTGTACCTTCCTTGTAACACCCACCGTGATTAATGCAAGGACCGTTCGAGGGGGAAGGGATGCAACATGTTGAACTGGGAGGGCGTGACCTCGGCTGCATAGCCCAGCCCGTCCTTTACCACGAAGGACCGTTTGAGAGAAGAGAGAGAAGAAAGGCTTCAGGTGAGGAAAAGGACGGAGAGAGGAGGGCAGGGGAGAGAAAGGTTCTTAGACATAGCAAACATACCTCAATTGAAGGAGCCTGCGACATAGAAACGCGTCTCACCTGCGTTGTAAGCACGTGGTTCATTTCGCTCGCCACTGTTTGCCGCATGCGCCACACTGTATACTCCATATAGTCAGGAGTCACACTATCGGGATAACCCTCTGGTAACATCCATCGAACCACCGCCGCTTTCACTCCCCTCACCACCCGCGCAACCATATCCACCCCTCTGCTCCGCTCATCCTCCTCCCCCGCTAAAACCCTACCCCCTGCGGCCTTCCCGTTGCCATTCCCCGTGCTTGTAACGATCCCCTTTACAACGCGTCCGTGTTCCTCCTCGTACGCGTTAGCAGCTTCCTCGCCTTCCAATTCAACTTCCACCCTTAGCTGGCCCTTCCCCCTATTGCTGCTTGCACTGCTGCTGCTGTTGAGGCCAATGACCAACGAGGAGTGATACTAACGAGAGGCGAGGAGAAACCCCCCCACGGCCCCCCCAAGGCCCCCCCAAGGCCTGGTCCTGGTCCTGGTCCTGGTCCTGGTCCTGGTCCTGGCCCTGGTCCTGGTCCTGGTCCTGGTCCTGGTCCTGGTCCTGGTCCTGGTCCTGGTCCTGGTCCTGGTCCTGGTCCTGGTCCTGGTCCTGGTCCTGGTCCCGGTCCTGTTCCAGGTCCTGTTCCTGTTGTCAGAAGGCGGCTGGAACAGTAACGAGACAGCAGGAACAGTAGCCGGGCGGCAGTAACAGTAACAAGGTGGCCGTAGCAGTAACTGGGCGGCTGGAACAGTCATCCCCGTCTCTGTGCTTCTGTTTCTGTATCTTGCAATCTGTCTCCGTTTGTTTCAGTAGTTTCTGTTCTCCCCTCTCACTGCTTCTGTTTCTGTTTCTGTGCTTCTGTTAACCCCTGTCACTCTTCTTCTGTTTCTGTTTGTCCTGCGTTTCTGCCTCTGTTTCTCAGTCGCTGATCACAGGTGTGGCCTTGTGTCTCTCTCTGTGTGTCTCTGTCTCTAGTTGTCTCCATGCTCCCCATCCCATCCCTGGGCCAAGCCCACACCGACCCGACCTGGCCACGACAGGGCCATCCCGGCTCATATAGTGAACAAGAACAAGCACACGCACTTTTCAAACCCTTAACTGTACTAATTTAGAATCCTATTTCTTCATTATGTCTTCAAAAAAGGCGCCCCGCACGAGAGAATGCCACCTGCACAGGTGGGGTGCGGTGGGGTGGGGTGGGGAGGAGGGACGGATGGCGGGATGGCCGGTGCGAGGGGATGGCGTGTGGCGGGTTCTGAAATTGTGGCAGAGGTGGCAAGTGGTGGGGAGGAGAGGAGGTGAACAGAGGGGAGGAGAGGAGGTGAACAGAGGGGAGGAGAGGAGGTGAACAGAGGGGAGGAGAGGAGGTGAACAGAGGGGAGGAGAGGAGGTGAACAGAGGGGAGGAGAGGAGGTGAACAGAGGGGAGGAGAGGAGGTGAACAGAGGAACAGAGAGGCGGTGAACAGAGGGGAGGATAGGAGGTGAACAGAGGGGAGGAGAGGAGGTGAACAGAGGGGAGGATAGGAGGTGAACAGAGGGGAGGAGAGGAGTTGAACAGACCACGGGAGGAGAGGAGGTGAAGAGAGGGGAGGAGAGGAGGTGAAGAGAGGGGAGGAGAGGAGTTGAACAGAGGGGAGGAGAGGAGGTGAACAGAGGAGAGGAGAGGTTTTAGCATAGGGGTTGGCGGGATGGCAAGTGTGGTGTGAGTGAGGGACTGGCGGGATGGCACGCATGTGTTGTGAGGAGTGCAGAGCAAGGGAGGGAACGACGAGTGCAGAGCAAGGGAGGGAACGACGAGTGCAGAGCAAGGGAGGGAACGACGAGTGCAGAGCAAGGGAGGGAACGACGAGTGCAGAGCAAGGGAGGGAACGACGAGTGCAGAGCAAGGGAGGGAACGACGAGTGCAGAGCAAGGGAGGGAACGACGAGTGCAGAGCAAGGGAGGGAACGACGAGTGCAGAGCAAGGGAGGGAACGACGAGTGCAGAGGTGCGGGAAGGTGAATAGAGGGGAGCAGTGGGGGGAGGTGAATACAAGGGATAAGTGGGGGATGGTGCGCGTGGGGAGCGGAGGGTGAATAGTAAGGGATGGGGAAACCGTGGGGTGAACAGTGGGGGATGGGGAGGAAGGGCGGAATGAGGAGAAAGGGCGCAACGAGGAGAAAGGGCGCAACGAGGAGAAAGGGCGGAATGAGGAGAAAGGGCGGAACGAGGAGAAAGGGCGGAATGAGGAGAAAGGGCGGAACGAGGAGAAAGGGCGGAACGAGGAGAAAGGGCGGAACGAGGAGAAAGGGCGGAACGAGGAGAAAGGGCGGAACGAGGAGAAAGGGCGGAACGAGGAGAAAGGGCGGAACGAGGAGAAAGGGCGGAACGAGGAGAAAGGGCGGAACGTGGAGAAAGGGCGGAACGAGGAGAAAGGGCGGAACGAGGAGAAAGGGCGGAACGTGGAGAAAGGACGGAACGAGGAGAAAGGGCGGAACGAGGAGAAAGGGCGGAACGAGGAGAAAGGGCGGGACGAGGAGAAAGGGCGGAACGAGGAGAAAGGGCGGAACGAGGAGAAAGGGCGGAACGAGGAGAAAGGGCGAAACGAGGAGAAAGGGCGGAACGAGGAGAAAGGGCGGAACGAGGAAGCAATCTTCTCACCCTTATCCAAGTTCCCTAGCATGACGGAGTGGAGGCGCGGGAAGGGGAGGGGATTAGGTTGACCGCGGCGGGAAACGGCAGCGCTCGGTTCTCTCCCGCCATCCGCGAGTACTGCTCCTGTACTGTACCCACTTTAGATCCGCTTCAGTCTGCTCCATCCGCGCTGTCTACTCCTGTACCTGCGGGGGCAAATGAACAAGCAGATTCACATGAATACGCACACGTGGAACGAGTACACTTGTGTATGTACATTCACACGACCACGCACGCATGCTACCCTTTGGCAGCTGCAGCAGCTCATCTTTCAGTCGTCTCACTCACTTGCCCAGCCACCTCTGCTTGAAAAAACTCTTACCTGCCCGCCCACCTCTTCTTCAAGCTCTCACCTGCGCGGCCACCCCTGCTTCAAACTCTCACCTGCCCGGCAATCTCTACCCCAAAATTCGGTGGGAAACCGCGGGAAGGAAAACCTTGGGAAACCAACCATGGGAAAGAGCGGGAAACGGCGGGAAAAGGCAGGAAAGGGCGGGATTCAGCGCGGAAAGGGCACTAAGCCGTGCCTGGGGCGCGGAAAAAAAAACAACTTGCCAAGCCTGCAGCGCGGAAAGGGCACTTGGCCGTGCCTGGGGCGCGGAAAAAAAACAACTTGCCAAGCCTGCAGCGCGGAAAGGGCACTAAGCCGTGCCTGGGGCGCGGAAAAAAAAAACAACTTGCCAAGCCTGCAGTGCGGAAAGGGCACTTCGCCGCGCCTGCAGCGCGGAAAAGGGCAAGTCGCCGCGCCTGCAGCGCGGAAAGGCACTTGGCCGCGCCTCTCACCAGGCAGTGCCGAGCCTCTCACCAGGCAGTGCCGAGCCTCTCACCAGGCAGTGCCGAGCCTCTCACCAGGCAGTGCCGAGCCTCTCACCAGGCAGTGCCGAGCCTCTCACCAGGCAGTGCCGAGCCTCTCATGGCGCGCGATCCGCCGCCTGGTGATGCTCGCGTGCTGGTGGGAGAGGTAGGTGAGTGCGTTTCCTTCGTCATAGGAACATTTGCCGTCAGATCAGTGCACAACTCGTGTCGCGTCGCTGTCAGAGATAAAACAAAGAAAGAAGAACATATTTACAAAAATAATTGAACAATTTGACGCAAACCTGAATACAAAAGGAGGCAGTGAAGCAGGCGCCTGGTGAGAGTGTTGAGCGAGAAACGGCGAAAAAAGGCACGAGGCAGAAAATGGAGAGGAGAGGAAGGGCCGGGGAAGAGGGAAACTTTAGCTAGAAATATAATCTCACGTTAATATAACTATAAAACGCAACTAAAAAACAGGAGCTTCTGCTGGAACGCGGATTAACTCTCACAGGGGCCTAAGCTGCTGCGCCCACCATTCCGTCAGCTGCTTCCGCGGCGCGACATCGGCCATCTGCTGCCGCGGCGCGACATTCCGCCATCTGCTGCGCGCGCCAATTCGCCTGCTGCTGCGCGCGCCATTCCCCCTGCTGTGGCGCGCGCCATCCCCCCTGCTGCTGAACGATCTATGACTAGGAGAACAAATAAAAAGAAAACTAAGAGAATGCTACTAAGAGCATTAAGAGAATGCTACTACTAGTGAGACCATCCAGTGAGAGGGACGCTGGGAGAAGAAGAGCAGTCGAGAGAAAGAGGAGTCAAGGAGGAGGTAACAATGGGAGAGTTGAAGGACTCGCGTGCTGGTGGGAGAGGTAGGTGAGTGCTTTTCCTTCACCAGATCAGCACCACTCGTGTCGCGTCGCTGTCAAAGAGAAAACAAATAAAAAAGAACATCAGCACCACTCGTGTCGCGACCGTTCGACGGTGAGGTCCGACCGAGCCACCTCGCGCGCACGCGCGTTCGCTCTGCGCAGCGACCCGTGTGACATGACATAGCATGCTGCAAACTAAACTGACATCAAACGCGATATTCGCAAATGAGAAAAAGCGCGGGACGGCTAAAGGAGAGCGCTGCGCAGGGTGCAGCGCGAGGCGAGCAGGACGACGACTATCTAACGACCGCGAGGCGCACGAACAAACACGCGACTGGGACCTTAGCGAATGACACAGCAGCGGATTAGGTGGCTGTGACTGTAATTCTAGCTGAATAGTCGGTACGAGGGAATAAGGTTCGAGTAGACCTGATTTGGTTTGGGCTGAGGCAGCAGCGGGATGGATAGACGGGTAGCTAGCCAACCCCTCCCACACAATGTTGTGTAACATTTCGGGCAGTAGAAATAAAAGTAGAAGCATCTCGTAACTAAAATGGAAAAATCAGACCACTCCTACTACTACAGTGAAGTCGTTTCGATTTTACTGTTGAATGGAAGGGTTCCAACTCGGACCTGAACACCCACCTCCTCAACCCAAAAAACAGCCCCCAATGGGGTTTCTAAGCCTGGTCCGCAACAGGTCGCGGTGGAACAGGTCAAGAAACTCAAAGACAGCCCCCAATGGGGTTTCAGAGCCTGCTCCAGCGCACACGTCGCGGTGGAACAGGTCAAGAATGATACTATAACAGTGAGGTTCCAATTTACAGCGCGGTTCGGACGAATCTTGATTTGCAAAGTGTATATATTGCTGTTGCTAACCAACTAGCATCAACTATGATTGCGTTTCAAATGTGAATTGTTCAATAAACATGCGAGAAGATAAACACATGACACACATAATGGCATTACAAGTTGCGTAAGCATAAATCACAATCAAATATGTGTAATATTGGTACGTTATTTTTATTTCCTGCTTTCATGCCTAATTCATACTTCTCTTGATGTAATGCAAGCATGATTGCTAGTGCTCGTACTCTTAATGCCTGTAAACTATCTACTTCAACGTCAATGCGTTGGGGTGGCTTTGAGCGGTGCCGAGTGTTGCCGAGAGGTTTAGAGTGGTAGTGAGCGGTGCTGATACGTCCGATGCGGTCGTTGATGGTGCTGAACGCTCTTGGGTGGTGACGAGTGGTGATGAGTAGCTCAGAGAGGTGTCGGGTGGTGATGAGCGGCTCCGAGCGGTGCCGAATGCTGCAGAGCGGTACAGAGCGGCAGTGAGCGGTGCTGGGTTGTTGTGTGCAGTGATTGGTGGTGTTGAGCACTTGTGAGTGGTGATGAGCGGTGAAGGACAGTGACGAGCCGCTCAAAGAGGTGCCGAGTGGTGATGAGCGGATCTGAGCAGTGCCGAGTTCTGCAGCGCGGTTCAGAACGGCAGTGAGAGGTGTTGGGCCTTTGTGTGCGGTCATTGGTGGTGGTGAGTGCCCGTGAGTGGTGATGAGTGGCTCAGAGAGGTGTCGAGTGGTGATGAGCGGCCCTGAGCGGTGCCGAGTGCTGCAGTGCGGTTCAGAGCAGCAGTGAGAGGTGTTGGGCCTTTGTGAGCAGTCATTAGTGATGCCGAGCGCCCGTGAGTGGTGACACCAACAGCAGCAGTAGGAAACACAAGCACAAGCAGCAAACGGTAGTTGTGAGCATCTGCATCACCATCGAGCGGCAACAGAATATGCTCAGCAGCAGTAGGAAACACCAGCATGAGCACAAGCAGCAAACGGTAGTAGTGAGCATCCGCTTCACCATCGAGCAGCAACAGAAAGTGCTCAGCAACAGTAGGAAACACCAGCACAAGCACAAAGCAGCGAATGGTAGTAGTGAGCATGCGCCTCACCATCAAGCAGCAACAAAAAATATTCGGCAGCAGTAGGAATGACCAGCACGAGCACAAGCAGCGAAAGGTAGTAGTGGGCATTGGCCTCACCATCGAGCAGCAACAGGAAAATATTCGGCAGCAGTAGGAAACACCAGCACGAGGACTAGCGCGAACGGTAGTATTGAGCATCCGTCTCACCATCGAGCAGCAACAGAAAATATTCGGCAGCAGTAGGAAACACCAGCATGAGGACTAGCGCGAACGGTACTATTGAGCATCCGTCTCACCATCGAGCAGCAACAGAAAATATTCGGCAGCAATAGGAAACACCAGCACGTGCACAAGCAGCGAACGGTAGTAGTGAGCATCCGCCTCACCATCGAGCAGCAACAGAAAATATTTGACGGCAGTAGGAAACACCAGCACGGGCACAAGCAGGAACGGTAGTAGTGACCATCCGTCTCGCCATCGAGCAGCAACAGAAAGTATTCGGCAGCAGTAGGAAACACCAGTTAAGAACAGTTTCACCGTTCTCAACCGAGAGAACATATTAGGGTTAACCAACCAAGGCTGCAAGGAAACGCGCCCCGAACTGACCCAGCTTCACCACAACACTTCCGCCAAAGCACCCGCTCGCATCACCTTCATTGCGCCACCTAGTACCACCCCTCGCCAGCCCGTCGTAGTAGCAGTAGTAGCACCAGCAAATTCGTACTGTAGGGTGTATGTATTTCGCACCAGTCTTCTTTGCTACTCTGCAAAGCCGCTCGGTGTTTGGCTAAACAAGTTTTGTTTTGCCACTCTCATTGCCTTTTAAGAGAAATTACGCTCAAAAACTGCGGGACTTTTAGATATCTGTTTAATCCGTTCCCCTCGCGCTTACGTCAGGTCAACAAAGCAGATTCGTGAATCGGGACCTCACCCACCCACCCGCACACCAGCACGAGCACAAGCAACGAACGGTAGTAGTGAGCATTCGCGTCACGATCGAGCAGCAACGGGAGGAGAAGGAGGACGACGAGGACCAGGACGAGGAGCAGGAGCAGGAGGAGGAGGAGAAGGAGGAGGACGAGGAGGAGGAGGAGGAGGAGGAGGAGGAGGAGGAGGAGGAGGAGGAGGAGGAGGAGGAGGAGGAGGAGGAGGAGGAGGAGGAGGAGGGGGACGACGACGACGACGACGAGAAGGAAGACGACGACGATGAGGAGGAAGACGACGAAGAAAAGGAGGGCGAGGAGTAGGAGTAGGAGGAGGAAGACGAGAAAGAGAAGGAGGAGGAGCAGGAGGAAGACGAGGAGTAGGAGGACGACGACAAGGAGGTTCACAACGAGGAGGAGGAAGACGAGGAGGAAGAGAACGAGCAGGAGCATGAGGAGGCGGAGGAGGAGGAGGAGGAGGAGGAGG